AAAAAAATAGATGCGGAGCCTTTTCTTCGATAAATATTTTCTTGGTTCCAGTAATACTAACTTAATTTGAGCCCTCTAGTAGTTATAAAATTCATTCTTCCTCATAGACTTTTTTCTTATATAATTCTGCAGTCTAGATAAATGAACATTTAAAAAATGTTTCATAATAGTTATTGCTCATTTCTAAGGTCAGAAACCAACAAAGCCTTTCTAAGATTGATGACATTATTAGATGTCAAAGTATAAAAATGACGGGTAAAATAAATATGACCTGCAAGATTAACTCCTTTAAAATAAAGATAAAATACATTTTGTAGAACTGTTTGAGAAAAAGTTTATGTAGGATGTTTTTTACATAGCAAGCTAAGCTTTTTGTTTTCTGATTTTTTGTGGATACACCTGGAAGTGCTGATGGAGGGGTTTTACTCTACCCAACTCTGTTTTGGGGGTCATTCCTCAGTACTCTGGAGACTTTTGTGCCAGAAATCAAATTCCAGGACTTCTGCATGCAAAGCATACACTCCAGTCCTTTGATCTGTCGCTCAGGGCCTGCAGTTATTTCTTGTGTGTGTGTGTGTGTGTGTTGCTGGAAACCGAACCCAGGACTTCAATACATACAAGGCAAGTGCCCTTCTGCTGAGCTTCGTTCCTGACCCCGGAACAAGGGATCAGGAATAAAAATTCATTTTCAGTATGATTTTCTTTAAAATTATGTTTTTTTTTGTTTTGTTTTCCCATGCTATGCATAAGAGGCCTGGCGGTGGGGTGGGGGTGCGCTTGGCAACTCTTGGCCAACTAGACCTGTGGTGTGAAGGGCTAGGGATGGGGTGCTGCTTGGACTTTGAGGTGTCAGGGTTTACCTGGACCACCCAGCAGTGTTCAAGGGCATCCAGGACTACACCCTCTGGTGCTCTGAGGACCATATGGTTGTGGTACTGGCAAAAGAATGAGGGTTGGCCATAGGCAAGGTGTACAACCTAACTTTTATTTCTCCAGTCCCAAGATTTTTTTTGAAAAAAATTTTGAAAAAATTTGATTTCTTGAAAATATGCACATCATCAGCAGAATTAATTTTTTTTAAGTGTGTTTGAAAGAGAAGGTTTGGATAAAAAAAACCCTCAGGCTTTACATCATGTAACTGAATTTCAATTTAATAAAATACTTTGTATCTAGTTGCCTTCCCCACAGGATTTTCACTGTTACTCTAAAAATCTATTTTTCTTTTAACTTTTTTCTAATTTTCTGTTAAAACTTTTATTTAAACACCATGATTAATATTCAAAGTTGTTCTCAATACAGTCCTTTCAGGCATTCATTATTGTAACACTAGTCTCACCTTCCCTCCACCAATGTCCCTAGTTACCTATCCATCCCCACTTGACTGCTCCAGTAGCAGGCAGAAAATAATTTACTCTGCATTGCTTGCTACAACATATCTCATATTGGTGTCCAAGGATTTGATGAACTTGTAGGTGCTATTTGAGCCTTCTTTGCTACTGCTTTCCCTCACTTAGTGGGTTTCTGCACAATACCCCTGTCGGGGATTTTCCGTGTTTCTCCTGGGTTGTTACTACTGTGACTTTATGAGGCCACGCACCCCAGCAGCTTGGACTAGGATGATTCAACTGCATGGCATCTTGAGCCTACCAGCTTTAGCTTTGCTGTGGTGTCTCTCTCTGAGATCGGTTGTGGGCAGGCTGCTTAAATGTGAGTGGCAATAGGTGTGGGTGAGTGGAGCACTGGGCCCTCCAAACAGGTGGGGACTTGGCCTGCCCCATCCCAAGGAGGCTCTAGTGATTTGGGCCCAGTCAGATTCGGCTCCGCAATGTCACATCTCTCCCGAAATTTTTTTTTTTTCTTTTTGGGAACCCCACTCAGTGATGCTCGGGTCACATCAGGCTCTCAACTCAGGAATTACTCCTGGTGTTACTTGCGGGACCATATGGGATGCCGTGGATTGAACCCAGGTCACCCACATTCAAGGCAAATGCCCTTCCAGTTGTACAGTCACTCTGGTCCCTCCCTCAAGATTAAAAAAAGTTGTAAAGTTATTACAATGTAATAAAAATTTTAGGTGTGCAATATTATAGATCAGTATCTGAATATTGCATTAAACTCACTATGAAAAAGCCAATTCTGATCCAGAGAGGTAGTCCAAGGGGTTTGCATGCCAGAGGCCAGGTTTAATTCCCAGCATTGCATGGTACCTCAAAACACCACCAGGGTTGACCCCTGAATAGCATTGGGTGTTGCCTCAAAACAACAACAAAAAACCAGTCTGTTCTTCAACATTTAATTGATGCTGTTTACCCAGTCAGTCCACTTCCATTTCCCCTACTGGTGACAACACAGTTGGTTTTATAGTCTGCAAGTTCATTATTGTATTTATTCAACTTTGTAACATTTTAAATTTTGTAATTCATCTATTTTTCTGGTTTATTTTTAATTTTAGGCATCGTGGTTTCCAATACTGGTTATGATAGGGTTTCATGCATACAGCCTTCCAACACCATGCCCTCCACCAAGTGCCCACTTTCCTCCACCATTGTCTCAGTGTATCTCTCATTTTCTTTCTTTTCTTTAAGGAGGTAGTATAGCTGGTGGTGCTCTGGGACCGCTTGTATGCTAAGGAGTGAACCCAGTCCTCCCACATGCAAAGCTGGGGCTCAAGTCCCTGGCCTTATTTGGTTTGTTTGTAGATAAACTGCATGATAGAAATCCCTTTCTTTGTGTAGAAAGAGTACAATAAAAGTGTATAAAATTGCTAGGGATGTTGCAGACTTCTCTACTTTTCTCTCTTGAATCTAAATTTTATTGATTTGGGGAGGTTTGGGCCACACCCAGCTATGTTCAGGGTTGACTTCTAGTTCTGTGTTCAGGGATTTTTTTCCTGGTGGTACTTGAGGACTATATGCTGTGCTAGGAGTTCAATGTTGGCCTCATGTTAGGATGCATCTTTTTTTTTTTAAATTTTTTTTTTATTAGTGAAACACCATGAGGTACAGTTGTAGACTTACAAGTTGTTGTGCTTGGGTTTCAGTTATACAATGATCGAGTACCCATCCCACCACCAGTGCCCATTCTCCACCCCCACCAATCCCAGTATCCCTCCCACCCCCCCACCCCCCATCCCACCCTGCCTCTGTGTCAGGGCACTCCCTTTTGTTCTATCTCTCCTTTTGAGTGCTGTGGTCTGCAGAAGAGACATTGGGTGGCAATCATGTTTGGTCCATAGACTACTTTCAGCAGGCATCTCCCATCCTGGGCAGATCTTCCCAGCACCCTTTATTTGGAGCTCCCTTCTCTATCTGAGCTGCCTTTATCCCTAGAGTGTGCGGCTGGCCTCTAAGCCATGATGCATCTTAATCCCTATACTATCTCTCCAACCCTAACTATGTTTTATAAATCTGCTATCTATTATTGTATTTGGGCTGATAAATACTTTTGTTTGTTGGGTTTGAGGCCACACCAAGCAATGCTCAGGGCTTAAGAGTCACTCCTGGTGAGGCTCAGGGGAATCATAGGGGGGGCCAGGAAAACTGTGCGAAGCAAGCACCTTGCCTGTGCTGTATTATCTCTCCAGCCCCTGGTAAACATTCTTAAAGTTTTGGTTGCTTAATTATCCTAAATGCTAGATTTTTTTTCTTCACCAGAGAAGTTTTATCAGACTTAGATAAGTTTTGAATTGAAATATAGGGAAAATTTCTGAAATGTAAAGGTTTTCAAATTGAGTATTGAAAGATTTTAGAGTATTTTTTATATTTTTTTAAAATGAAAAACTGGAATAATCAAAAATAAAAATAACTGATATTTACATAATTTTCTCCAAATTTAATTATAGCACATATGGAATTGTTAGTTTGTCTTATTTCTGCTTATAATTATTAGATGAGGATGTTATTTTATTCTTCTGCGTGTTGATCATTGAGTCTATCACTTTTGTGAATCTGTAGAAATATCTTATTCAGTAATTGAGATTTTATAAAAAGTATTATAGGGAATCATGTTCAATATTTTTCAGATAATATTTACTTTTTCACATTACTTATGATCAGTATCTTATTGCACAAACATCTCTCTCGTCATAATCTTATACCTTGAATTTCAGCTATTTAGTTAACCTCCTAGCCCTGTCCAGGGCAAGTTCTTGAGTCACTTGGTCATTTAGGTGATAAGGCTATTTCTTTTTATTGTCTCAATTTGATATAGTTTGGATCAATGATTTCCAAATCTCATCAATTCTTAGGCTGTATCTCTTTTGCTTTTCAGTTTTGGGGCCACACCTGTCTGTGCTCAGGGCTTACTCCTGGCTGTGTACTCAGGGATCACTACTGATAGGGTTTGGGGGAATTCAGGGTGCCGGGGGATCAAACCCAGGTTCATCACACGTAAGAAGGCAAGCACTCTACCTGCTGTACTCTCTCTCCAGATTCCCTTAGGCCATATGTGTGTGTGTGTAGTGTGTGTGTGTGTGTGTGTGTGTGTGTGTGTGTGTGTGTGTGTGTGTTTGGGGGTGGTAGGTAGGTATCTAAGGGAAACACTATTTTTTTAAAACAAATTCCATTAAAATAATTTTTGTTCCTGAAATAAAATATGGGGACCTGGGAGTGAGCATCTACCTGCCTTGCATGTGTAAGCAAGACCCTAAGATTTATCCCCATCTTATGAGGGAGGCATCTGACGATCCTTTCCTCGAGCACCACTGGATGTGAATGTACTTCTGGTAGCCTCATGACTGACAGATGTGACCCCACTGGTTCCAAGCTTTGTTGGTGTCCTCCATGTATGTCCAGCAGGACTAATCCTGCTGTGAGAGGCCCCTAGCATTACCATGAAATATGCATAGTTAATCTGCTATTCTGATGGGCTGGCGCAAAGCACAGTGGGTAGGGCGTTTGCCTTGCATGCGACCAACCCGGGTTCGATTCCTCCTTCAGCAAGTTAATTTTCAAAGGTAAATAATGCATATGTTTTTAATTATTTCTTTTGTTCATTTCCAGCTTACAAAACACTACACTGCAAAATAATGATCTGCTAGACTGCTAACCTGAGCATCCACCTTCCATAATGCCTGTGCAGGCAGCTCAGTGGACAGAATTTCTGTCCTGTCCAATCTGCTATAATGAATTTGATGAGAATGTGCATAAACCCATCAGCTTAGGTTGTTCACACACTGTTTGCAAGACCTGCTTAAATAAACTTCACCGGAAAGCTTGCCCTTTCGACCAAACTGCCATCAACACAGACATCGATGTGCTTCCTGTGAACTTTGCACTTCTCCAGTTAGTTGGAGCCCAGGTATGCTTTGAAGATCTTACTAGCATTATATCGAATAAAAGAATTTTGTGCGTGATGGAATATAAATTTTAAAAAAAGCATGCATAATAGTATTTGAGGCTTACAAAATATATTCAGTGTACCTGGTATTACTCGAAAGTTTCTTAAATATCTTAAGTTCAAATGCAAAACCATAAATTTCGTTACAAGTTTTTAGTTTCAGTGCTGTGGTCAGAATTTACAACTAACTTTGGTAAATAAGTAACATTTTTGGGTAAGTATAGCTAATAGGAAATGAAGTAAATGAAGTGTAATCAGAAGTTGGGCAGAAATCAACTAGTAAGAACTGGTAAATGAAGGGTTTTATTGGTTTATTGTTTTGGGGGTCTGGGGCCACAACCAGCAGCGCTCAGGGGCTATTCCTGGTGTGGTGGTTAGGGTTGCTCCTGTCAGTTTATAGATCTAATAAAATGCTCGGGGTTTTGTGATAATGCCAGTTTATTTAGCACATGCTATCATGTTTTGTCGAATATCGAATACGATATGCCAGACACAGTAACAACAAAGTCTCCAGTGGAGACGTTACTGGGCCCTCTCGAGCAAATCTATGATCAACGGGAGGGCCTTTACTTACTTACTTTACTTTATCATGTTTTGTCATTTGTAAGTATTCTTTCGTTTGGGTCTTAAAGTGGTCTGTGGGTATATACAGTATGAGTTCCATTGCTCTTTTCAGTCTTGTCTACTTCTACTCTCTTTTACTCTTTACTTTTAGACTTAAGCCTCAGTCACCTGCTAGTCAATAGTCAGATATTTCAGAGATTATATTCACTATAACATTCTTGTTGTCTTCGCCTTGAATGCTCACTTCTTTCTTTCTCCAAGGTTCATGATGTGCAAGGAACCCTTTCCTGACCACTCTCCATGCTGGCAATTAGAATTGCTATTCCCTACCTAGCACTTCTGATTTCTGTTTTTGGGTGGTGCTCAGGGGCTCCTGCCTGTGTGCTTGGGAACTGCTCCTGGCAATGCTTGGGTGGCCAGGTGGTGCTGGGGATCCAAAAAAAAAAAAAAGCGTGCATCTAGCCTGTAGTAGTTGGTCCCTCAATCCCCCTTTTATCCTTGCTGTGTTATTTTTCTGATCACCTTCTACTATATATTATTTGTAAAAAGTTAGTGAGCACAGCAGGTAGGGTGTTCGCCTTACAAGCGGCCAACATGGCCGACCCGAGTTCGATTCCTCCGCCCCTCTCGGAGAGCCCGGCAAGCTACCGAGAGTATTCGATATGCCAGACACAGTAACAACAAAGTCTCCAATGGAGACGTTACTGGGCCCGCTCGAGCAAATCGGCGATCAACGGGAGGGCCTCGAGCTTTTTCTCTTCTCTATTAGAAAGTAAGCTCCACAGGGGCAGGAAATGTCTGTATTGTTGACTGGTAGATGCCTAGTGTCTAGAACTATTCTTGACACATGGTAAGCACTCCACAGTATAAATGTAGGTTCAACTAAATGGCTTGACACAGTTAAGTAATTTACTCTGGATCACTCACAGAAGTGACAGAAATGTAGTTTATATACGTAAGTTTTGACTTTTTGTTAAGAGTACTGTCTTGTGCTTATGTTTCTGCAAAGGGGAAAAGACTATAATAAATATTACAAATTATATAGTATGAAAAGGTGGTAAATGCTGAATGAAAAATTTTTGTTCCTGCCTCCCTTTTTTTTTTTATAGTAAGGGGAGTCAAACCTAGTGTTCTGTAACTAAGCTCTCATCTATTTTTGTGGGGATCTTGGGGGCTACACTGGTGGTGTTTAGGACTTACTTATGGCTCTGTGCTCAGGAATGATTCTGCGGTGCACATAGGACTGATCATATGTGTTACTTGGGGTCATAAGCATGCAAGTAAAGTGTCTTAACACTCATACTATCTATCTTGCCCACCTTCCCTTCTTTTTATTTTGAAATATTTTTAGAAAAAGTTGCAAGTTGCAAAAAATACACAGTAAACTCATATACCTTTTTGGTGCTTCTTTTCAAAATTATTTCAAAAGTCTAGTAGTTATCAATTTAACCCCAGGAAACAAACCTTAATTTGATAAAAATTATAGTTTTTTCCATTCATTAATTTTTTGTTTGTTTGTTTTTGTGTGTAGGTACCAGATCATCAGTCGATAAAGTTAAGTAATCTAGGTGAGAACAAACATTATGAAATTGCAAAAAAATGTGTTGAGGATTTGGCACTCTACTTAAAACCACTAAGTGGAGGTAAAGGTAAGTTCATAGAGTTATAAAAAATGCTTTTTACTGAGGAATGGGATTTGGTAATAGATTTACTTTGAAAAGCTATTTTTTTTTTTATTGTTCCGTGGGGAAAGAGGCACACTCGGCAGTGCTTAGGGCTTACTTGGACCATATATGGTGTTGGGGATCAAAGATCAAACCCGGGATAATCACGTACTAGGCAAGCCCATGTCTGCTGCACTCGCACTCTGCTTTGAAACACTTGATGTTATATCTTATTGGGTGATTTTGAGGGCTCATTTTTTGGGGGACAGCTCATTTTGGAGCTGTTGGGCCATGTCTGTCAGTGCTCAGGGTTTACTCCTCGCTCTGTACTCAACTGTCACTGTCACTGTCCTCCCGTTGTTCATCGATTCATCGAGCGGGCCCAGTAACATCTCCATTTTTTTTTTTGAGACTTGCTGTTAATGTGTTTGGCATATTGAATACGTCACAGGTAGTTTGCCAGGCTTTGCCGTGCGGGCAAGATACTCTCGGTAGCTTGCCACGCTCTCCGAAAGGGGTGGAGGAACTGAACCTGGCTTGGCCGGACTGGCTGCGCGCAAGGCAAATGCCCTAACGCTGTGCTATTGCTCCAGCCCTGCTCTATTCTCAGGGAGTACTTTTGGGATTACTCATGGCAGGGCTCAAGGGACCATAAGGGGTATCCGGGGATTGAACCTGCATCTGCTCCCTGCATAGCAAAGATCTCAACCTTGGTATTTTTCATCCCTACTTTTGAGTTTTAGAATTTGTTCCAAAGATCTTAGAAAATGTTTCGTTTTGGGTTTTGTCAGAGGCCAAACCCTGCATTTTCCGGGGCTATTCCTGGCTCTTTTTAGGAATGACATTTAGTGCTATTCAGGGACTCTTTGTGGGGCCGGGGATTTTAGCCGGGTTTACTGCGTGCATGTCAAGCACCTTTCCTCCTATATGTATCTTTCTGACCCTGAAAGACCTTTTGGTGAGAACGTTTATTATATTGTATCTAAAAATAATATTATTTCACTATTTTTGTTCATTGATTAAAAAATAGTGCCACAGCAGAATATTGTAGCACTGTAGCACTGTCCTCCCATTTTTCATCGATTTGCTCTAGCGGGCACCCTCATTGTGAGACGTGTTACTGTTTTTGGCATATTGAATACGTCACGGTAGCTTGCTAGGCTTTGCCGTGTGGGTGGAATACTCTTGGTAGCTTGCTGGGCTCTCCAAGAGGGGTGGAGGAATCGACCTCAGGTCAGCTGCATGCAAGGCAAATGCCCTACCCGCTATACTATCGCTCCGGCCCCAGAGCAGAATATTAGTCTTTGATAAATCCTGTTAAGATTTCAGTGCTCAGAGGGCTGGAGACACAGCACAGCAGGTAAGGCACTGTCTTGCGCAAGTTCCCCAGAGCAATCCCCAGAACCTCCTGGGCCCTTGAGCACCACCACAAGTGACCTGAGGTGTGGCCCTCAAACAGAACAAAAAAGATTTTGGTGTTTTGAATGTATAGTAAAATAATAATAATTTTTGTAAAAGGCAGAATTAAATATATAATAAAAAATTGTATAGTAGGTTTTAAATGATAAAACAATCAGAGGGATCAGAAATGTCAGATAGAGGGGAGATGAGTGAATCACAAATTGAAATAAAATAACTAGAAGTCAGAAGATTGTACAGTGATTGGGCACTGGCCCCCAGCAACACATGATACATTTGATGTTGAGTATCAACAGTTGAGTCCTGGAGGCCCCCAAGCATTTAGTGTGTCACTCCTTTTTTTTTTTTCTATTTGGGTTCCACCCGGTGATGCTCAGGGGTTACTTCCGGATCTACATTCATGAACTACTCCTGGCAGTTGTTGGGGACCAATTGGGATGTGGGCGATCGAGTCCGGGTCAGTCTCGTGCAAAGCAAACGCCCTCCTCACTGCACTATTGCTCCGGCCCCGTATCGTTTCACTCTGAAGTCTCATGGGCCTTCACTGGGTAGTCCTTGTGGTCCCTGGCATTGTATTTTCTTGTTCTAGTGTTGAACCTCCAGCCCTGTTGCTGGGAATAGTCTAAGATCCCTTGAGCATCATTTATGAAGGCTCTCCCCTCTCCCAGTGAAGATGGTTAAGGTAGATAGGCCTCATTAAAGAAGTGAAGTTTGTGGAAGGATGTCCCCAGATCATGCCTTGAACCTTCATAAAACAACTGCTGCTTCCCTTGATCCCACAGCTTAGGAGAAAGAAGGAAAAAAAATCAAGTGGGAAGGCAAATGAGAAACGGAAGTAATGGGGGATAGGGATCAGGGCTTCGATTATACTGGTGATGTGGGAGATTGGTGTAACTCTATCCAAAGCACAGACTCAGCAGTACTGAAAACATGAGATCTAGACGGCACCACTGAACTTTGTAACATGCCTGTAAAAATGGCAGATTGGTTTGGAAAATGACATTGGTGGTGGGATTGGTGTTGAAATATATGCCCAAAATTCAACTATCAATAACTTTTAAAATCACAGTTCTCTAAAAATTTATTAATTTTTTTTGAAACAGCTGGTTCTTGTGTAGAGCTCAGTGAGTTTGTGACATAGAAATATGAGAGATAAACTACATGTTGACAATAGATGATGTACAGATCAGAGCTTGTTTGGGGTGCAGCACCACTACCAGTGACCCCTAAGGACTGCTAGTTATGACACAGCCCTCCCCATAAACTCCACCTGGCAGAAAAACAGAAAGGAAAGTAGTAAAGATGAGCAGTAGAGCACTTGCTTTGCATATGACCCTTTGGGTTCAGTCTTTACCAATATACACGTAGATAAAATCAGTAAAGAAGTTAGCAGTGTTGGGTGATGTTTAAATGTCAGATAGGGAGCTGGAAGGATATATAACAGAAGGCAGGATACTTGCCTTGCATGTGTTGAGCCCTAGTTCGAGTCCCCAGTAGCACATAAGGACCCCAGAGTTCAGAGCCAGGAATAGCTCCTTAGAATTAACAGGTGTGATCCAAACCCCACTCTCACAACAAAAGAGGCATGAGAGATTTTCATGGTATAAGGTGCTTGTCTTCCATGCAGCCAACTCTGGTTCTAGCCCCAGCACTACCCAAGGTCCCCTGAGTGCCGCCAGGAATTAGTTATCCTAATGTGTATCCTAGTTAGTTATCTTGTATATATGTGGCAGGCATGTCCATAAAGCCCCGAGTTTGATTCCGGGTACACCATGCCATCATCTCCATCCACCTTTTTGGCTTCCTGATCACCACTGGTGGCCAAAGCATCAGACTCAGACTAGCACTGCCAGGCCTGGAAATCCCTGGAATAGCCCTAGAACTCACTCGGAATTGTTATTTTAAAAGTTTAAATATAATGAAGAATATTTTTAATAGAAAAAAATTTTAGTTTTCTTTGTTTCCTTTTTCTTAAAGGTGTAGCTAGTTTGAACCAGAGTGCACTGAGCCGTCCAATGCAAAGGAAATTGGTGACACTTGTAAACTGTCAACTGGTGGAGGAAGAAGGTCGTGTAAGAGCCATGCGAGCAGCTCGTTCCCTTGGAGAAAGAACTGTCACGGAACTGATATTACAGCACCAGAACCCTCAGCAGTTGTCTGCCAACCTATGGGCTGCTGTCAGGGCTCGAGGATGCCAGTTTCTAGGGCCAGGTAATAGATCTCTTTCTTGCCTTTGATGTTGCTCATTAGGGCTTAGGGGATGCTAGTTTCTAGAAATAGGTGAGAATTTCCAGGCTCAGTCTTTGCACATACAGTTCATGGCATAATTTAAAACAGACTTTGTTAATCATACTCAAATTGATAGTGCTGCATTGTTTTGGAATAAATTTCTCATTTAATCCTCAGTGGACTTCAATAGAAGTGACACAGATTTAATTTTATGTGGTTTGGGGGCCGCACCCAGCAGTACTCAGTGCTGATTTCTGGCTTTGTGCTCATGCATCACTCCTGACGGGACTCAGAAGACAATATGAAGTACTAGGGATTGAACCTGGTCGCCACATGGAAGGCAAATTCCTTACCTGCTGTACTATCTCTGGCCCCAGATCCAGTTTTATGATAAAAGAGAGGCCTGTTACACAAATAAGAGCTTTGTTGTTGTTAGTTGGGACCAGAGAAGTAAACAGAGATTAAAGTGCTTGCCCTGCATTCTGCAGACCCTGGTTTGAATCCCACCAACCACATATGGTCCCCTGAGCTCTACCAAGAGTCACTGCTGAGCACAGAGCTTGGAATGGCCTTTGATCACTGCTAGGGGGTGTGTTCCAAAAAAAAGAAGTAAAAACCAAAACTCAAAAGCCTTTGATTAGTAGCATTGTAGAATTGTACAGACAGGTGAAGATAAAATTGATCATATGCCTTATTATTTATAACAATATAAATTTCCAATAGGTCATTATTGCATATAATTTAAAAAAATCAGGCTGGAGAGATAGAACAAAGGTTAAGGAGCTTGCCTAGCTTTCCACCCTGGTTTTATTCCTGCCCCTACATACAATTCCCTTAGCTTCTGATTTGAGTGGGTACTGAGCACAGAGTAAGGAGTGGTCCCTGAGCACCGAGGGTTGGGACCATAAAAGTAAATAAAAATAAATCATACAAATAACAAATTATAAATACAAGGTAAATTACCCTGTAATTAGTATTAGAAAATACTTTTATCTTTGACTTTAAATTCAGAAGCAGTAGGATAAGATTGGTATTTGACTATTTAAATTTTTAGTTGTTTTACCAACACCCCCCCCAAAAAGAAAAAGTGAAAAAATTGCATAAGTTTGGAAAAACATTTGTGTTCTGTTACCAATAAAGAACTAAAATAAGTGCTTCTGATTACATTGAACTATCAATTCTAACATCACAGTAATATGCCACCCCGCCCTCAAGCCCTGCTAGGTCATTTTACTGGCACCTAAGCACTGAGCCATCAGGCCCACACTGCCAAGCAGAGCATCGCTAGGAGTGACCCTGAGACCCTCGGAGTGCTACTTAGGGTGTATCCTGTTGGAAAAAAGTGGTCCTGGAGGTATAGTGCCAAGGCCTAAGGAGCAGCATCTCAGGTGGGCAGGGTCCAAATGTTTAGCGGTCTATATTCTTTTTTTGTCAGATAAACTGCTACTTTCATCTCATAATTGATGGACTACAAACTGGTATAGATATCAAAGAAAGAAATTTCACAGTATCTAACAAAATCATCTAAGTATTTTTTTCTGGGCAGATCCTGGTCTTGCTCAGGGTTTATTTCTTGTTCTGTGTTCAGGGATCACTCCTGACACTCCTTGGAGGCGGTGGGGGTGCTGAATTAGGGTCTGTGAGATACAAGATGAGCTCATTACCCCGTACTATTTGTTCAATGCCCCCCCCCCTTTTTTTAATGGGGCCTACCCCAAGCAGTACTCCTGGGGGTCTCAGGGTCATTCCTAATGATGGTTTCCTTGGTAATGTGGTCCTGATGGTTTGCTGCTTGCGTGCTAAAAGGGGCTAGTGGGCTTGGGGGTGGGGTCTGAGGGGCTAGTGGGGCTTGGGGGTGGGGTCTCATACTATTACTGGGATTGGACATGGGGTGTGTGTGTGTGTGTGTGTGTGTGTGTGTGTGTGTGTGTATGTGTGTGTATTCTATCAACTTGAGTTATCTGGCCCTATGAATTTTTACTTTGACCCAGCATTATTTATTTTTTGCTTTGTGACCACATCATACCATGCTCAATGCTTACCTGTTACTCTGCTCAGGAATCACTCCTGGTGGAGCCTGGGAATCTTATGCATTGCCCTGCGTCAAACCCTGGTCAGCCTATGCAGGCAAGTGCCGTGCCTTACCTGCTGTACTATTTCTCTGGTCCTAATCTGGTATTCTTGTTTTGCGGTCACACCCAGCTGGGCTCAGGGTTTACTCCTGGCTCTGCGATCAGGGAATCAATCCTCGTGGGACCATATGGGATTCTGGGGATTAAACCCAGGTCAATTGTATGCAAGGCAAGCCCTATCTGGTATACTGTCACTCTGCCCCTTGACCAATATTCTTGTTTTTTAGGAGTCATACTTCAGCAGTAAAGTAAAAAGTTTAAGTCTTCATTTAACTTGATCTGTAGGTTCTTGGGAACTGCTCCTCTAAGTGAAATGATCACTATCACCCCATTGTTCATCAATTTGCTTGAGCGGGCGCCAGTAACATCTCCATTCATCCCTGTCCCGTGCTAGTGTAGCCTGATGGCATATTAGGGGCTCTTTCAGGGTCAGGGAATGAGGACCATCATTGTTAACAGTTTTTGGCATATTGAGTACGCCACGGGTAGCTTGCCAGGCTCTGCCCTGCGGGCGGGATACTCTTGATAGCTTGCCAGGCTCTGAGAGGGATGGAGGCTTTTGGGGCAGCCTCTAATCACCTTTACAGGTGTTCCCAGTCAGGCATATATGCGGGCAAGATACTCTCAGTAGCCTGCTGGGTTCTCTGAGAGCGAGAACTAGAGAATAAGAGGTCGAATGCAGCCGCATGCTTCTGGGAGCTTGGTTTTATAGTCTCTGGATCTTGGCTGTTGATGGGGTTACACGGCAGTTGGTGGGTGTGACTGTCTAGGTACTGGAAGATGGGGGATCTGGGTGGAGGAGGCCCAGTTCCGATCCGAGCTGGCTTGGAGATCTCAACCCTGGGTTCCCCACACCTGGGTTCCTCTGCCAGTCCCATGTGGAGAGTGGTATCAGCATGGCTGTGGCTGTGTCCCGGAGGTCTTCAGCTGCTGGGGCTCTGCTTACAGTGGAGAGGGAAATTCAACCCGTCCCCCTTCAAGGGGCTCCCGTGAGGACAGCCGGGCTTGGGGGCAGGAGTCTCTGCATTATTCTTCTCTGGGAGCTTGCTTTTATAGTCTCTGGATCTTAGTCATTGATGGGGTTACATGGCAGTTGGTGGGAGTAGCTGTCTAGCTACTAGAAGATGGGGGACCTGGGTGAGCAGGCTTGGAGATCTCAGCCTATGAAATGATGTATAACTAAAATGAGCCAATTAATTTTTATAGAGAATAGTGGTAGTCCTATCATACTTCTAGCCATAAGAAAATCACCAAACTTATGTAAAATACTTTTAATATTGAGCAGATATTTGTATTCCTTCGTTAATTGTTTTTTATTCTCACACCTAGCTAGATCCATACTCAGATTCTCTTTAGACATTCCAGTTATCCTAACACGTATCGTTCCTGGTGAAAATCCTAATACACAGGCAATGATCCTGAATTTTTTCCCCTTCAATCTGATAAATGACTTTGAATAAAATGACACTATTTAAGTTCTTGTACTTTCAAATCATTTTAATGTTCTATGTAATTATTTTTAAAATGTTTAGTAAAAAATAAATTTTGACAACTTAAATGAACTAACTGAATAGATAAAACCATATCTAAAACTAAAATTCCTAATTAACATGAAGTTGCTGATATATGTAGAATTGAATTATTTTCATGAGCTAGAATTTTTTTTAAAATAATGTATCTCTGCTGGGTTTTGTAATCTTTCATTTATCAGTTACATTATTTATACTCCTATTGGTAGTGTTACTTTGAAACTAAACTATTACTGACATCGTAGGATGAAGTAGTTATATAATCTACCAGGAACAAAAATATTCATAATTCAAAGAAATTATATATTTGAATAGAAAATCAGTGCATGTAAAGATCTTATAGTTTTCTGTTTAAATTAGTAATAGTATACATCACTATTTGTTTTGTTTTTGGACCACATCCTGCTGTGCTTAGTACTTTTTTTTTTTTTTTGGCTTTTTGAGTCATACCCAGTGATGCTCAAGGGTTACTCCTGGAGGGGTTCAGGAGACCATATGGGATGCTGGGGATCGAACCCAGGTCAGCTGTATGCAAGGCAAAAGCCCTACTCTGTATACTATTGCTCTGGCCCTCAGGACTTACTCTTAATTTTCTGCCCAGGGATCATTTCTGGCAGTGCTCAAGGTATATGCAGTGCTGGGGATTGAACCTGGGTCAAGCAAATATAAGGCAAACGCTTCATCTTCTGTACTACTATCTCTTTGATCCCAGGCTCACTTGTTTTTTTACTTTTCTAAAAATGTCTATCTGTTGAAAAGATTAGAGGCAGTGAGCAGAAGAAAAGGGGCAGATATAGAATGACTGCATTTATCTGTGGGATAGAAAAAAAAACACAGTATGAAACTAATATCCAAGGCCAGGGAAAACAGGCCAGGAGGACTGGCCAATGGTTGGTCAATGATGTGGGAGGTGGAGGATAGTTAAGATAGAGAAGGATCCATTATGACAATAGTAGTTGGAAATGATCATTATGGACAAGAACTGAGTGTTGAAAGCAGGTAAAGGGATCAACAAGATAACCTTTCAGCATCTGTATCAAAGTCCATAATGCCTAAAATGAGAGAGAGAAAGAGAGAAGACAGGTACCTGCCGTAGAGGCAGACTGGAATGGGGAGTGGCTTGAAGGGGTGGGAGGGAAACTAAAAAGGACACTGGTGCTAGGAAATGACACTGGTGAAGAGGAAAAGGACACTGGTGCTAGGAAGTTACACTGGTGAAGGGATGCGTGTTGGAACATTGTATGACTGAAACGCAGTCATGAACAATTTTGTAATGCTCTATCTCACGGTGATTCAATTTAAAAAAAAAAGCAGTGAACAGCCTGAGTACCTAGATTATGCCTGTAATGCATTTTCTCACTAAAATCTATCTGCCCAAAGATACTTTGGGCTTTTCTTGTTATCATTTGTTCTGGGCCATACTTAGTAGTGTTCAGGGACTTTTTGTAGGTTTGTTTTGTTTTGTTTTCTTTAGCTGTGTTCAGAGCTTCCTCCTGATTCTGTGATTCTGGTATGTCTTATGGATCATATTCGGTACTAGGGATTGAATCCAGGTTGGGCCCATGTAAGGCAAATCGATGAACAACGGGAGGACAGTGCTACAGTGCTACCTTAGTTTTGGGTTTGAAGTTTATTCTCATGATTAATTCAAATTAAACTGTACATCATTGTTTTGAAAACACACAAGTTTGTTCTTTCAGAAAGTTATATCCAGAGACTGATGAACTTTAAAATTATATATAAATAAAATGGTGACAGTTCTGTGCATAAAAAATTATGTCATAAAACTGTTGTATGTTGGGCCAAAGTGATAGTATAGCAGGTAAGGCACTTGCCTTGCACACGGCCAGCCCTGGCTTGTTCCAAAACTGATCCCCTGAGCCCTGCTACGAGTGATCCCTGAGCACGGAGCCAGGAGTAAGCCCTGAATACAGCTGGGTGTGGCTCAAAAACAAAAAAAAACTACTGCATGTCTTGTTTAGCCTGATAAGTTTTATAAATGAGAACTTTTTTCTCTAGCAACATTATCTACTTGATTATTAAATATGTGCAGAGGATATTTTAAGTTCTTTTGATTTATTTATGTTCTATTATGTAAGAGATTTTGGGGGTGTGTGGTTTTTTGTTTTTTTGGTTTTTTTTGGTCACTAATGGGCATACCATAGAGGGCATACCCAGTATTGCTCACGGTTTGTTCATGGCTGTATGCTCAGGATTAACCCTGCCAGTGTTCACGAAACCACGTGGTGCTGGGGATTTGAGCTAGAGTGACGGTTGCTGCAGCCATATGCAAGACAAGTTCACCTTACCTCTTGTACTGTTCAGACCTATTTAAGATGTTTTGCTTGAGATGTTTAATCTAATGAAGGTTTGATTTTTGTTTATTTTTTAATTCTAGAGAGCGAGTGGTTTGGGAGCCTTCACCTAGCAGTGTTCAGGGGTTATTCCTAGTGTGCAATCCCAGGGGTCTTGCCAGTATAGGCCACACGCACAGCAGTCACCTTAACTTTGTACTATCTCTCTTACCTGTTTGATAATTTTTTTTCTTTTTGGGTCACATCCAGCGATGCTCAGGGGTTACTCCTGGCTCTACACTCAGGAATTACCCCTGGCAGTGCTCAGGAGACAATATGGGATGCTGGGAATCGAACCCGGGTCGGCCGCATGCAAGGCAAATGCTCTACCCACTGTGCTATTCCCCAGCCCCCTGTTTTACAAATTTTTAAGTAACCAGTTTTTGTGTCAAATATTTATTGCCAATTAATGGCAGTTCTTACCTATGAACTACAGATAACTAGCGCTTGAAGTTTGTAGGAGACTTGATCTTCAGTGTTCCTCTTTTATCTTGAATTTATACTCCCCTCTTCTAGCTATGCAAGAAGAGGCCTTGAAGTTGGTGTTGCTGGCATTAGAAGATGGGTCTGCTCTCTCAAGGAAAGTTCTGGTACTTTTTGTTGTACAAAGACTAGAACCAAGATTTCCTCAGGCATCAAAAACAAGTATTGGTCATGTTGTGCAACTACTGTATCGAGCTTCTTGTTTTAAGGTAAGTAGTATGCAAGCAACCATCTGGAAATTGTATGCGTGTGTATGGAACAGAGTCTTCCTGGAAAGGGTCTTACCTGGTCCAGACACCTCAGAAATGCCGAATGTTTATTGGGGTTGAAGTGCATCCTTTTATTTTTTTCCCTTCTGTGTTGATTGCATCTGTGTTTCTAACCTATTGGGCATATGAACTCCTGTGTGAAGATGTCTCTTACACAAAACAGTTTAGGGAATAGTTAGGTGACGATGATTCTTTGAGTCACCAAAGTAAACCAAAAAAAAAAAAAAAGAAACCAGAATTCCTCATCTCTATTTGCTCTTCTAAAAATGATCTTTGCAGGCTGGAGAGACAGTGTAGGGTTAAGGCAGTTGCCTTACATGTTGCTGACCCTGTCATGATTGCTGTAACTGCAGAGCGCCTCAAGCACTGCTAGGAATGACCCCTAAGCACGTAGTCCGAACTGGCTCCGGAGCTCTGTTGCGTGTGGCTCAGCACCCCCCCCAAAATCATTTGGGAACTTGATTGAAGCTTCACAAATATGTAATTATTTTAAACGTCCCATTATTTTTGTAGTCTGTCCTCTGCAGTGATTAGCTTTTAACCAGATTAAATTTTTAATATGAAACATCTGTATGTTGTTTAGGGGCAGTAAGTGTTTGAAAGTTTGAGTACAGTAAGTGCTCCAGCCTCTTATTTAGGTATTTGGGATTTTGTTTTGTTTGTTTTGTTTTGATATTGGTTGTTAATGTTTCTTTGGTTGAAGGGTCAGGCAAGAAGTCCAAGATAATAAAAGTGTAGTTTTGTGTTTTATTTGGCTAAAGGATAGTAACAAGTATTCACCCTGAGAACAGGGTGAATCCTTGCAGTTCCTTCATACTACAAAAGTACAGGTTGCTGGCTGTGGTCAGAAAAATGCTCAAGGATTTGGAAGCAAAAGCCCAATTGGCATCTCTGAATATAAGACATCTACATTTAAAACCAATATTTGTTCTTCTGGTTTTATGGCCCCAATAGTAAAAGTAGTGCAGACAGAAAATGGGTTTTGAATAGATTGCTAGATTGAGATAGCAATAAATTTATGAATTATGGTCCCTACGTTACATATAATATGAACTATAATATGGACTTTTGGTCCCATCTGCCACATTCTTATTTATTCCTCTTTCATTGGACACTTGGGTTTTTCCCACACCTTGGCAATGGTACCTAACAGTTGTAACTATGCGGTGAACATGGGTGTGCATTATGTCTTTTCAGTTTGTTTTTCTATTACTCTAGATTCCTAGGAGTGATGGCTAGCTCATATGATAGTTTCCTTTTTGATATTTTGATAAACTTTCATACTTTATCCATAAACTGGGTCAGTTTACATTCCTATCTACAGTATTGGAGGGTTTCTGTTTCCCAATACAATCTCCAACTCTTGTTTCTTGTTTATTATAGGCCATTCTGTTAGGTGTGAGATGATAACACATTGATGTTTTGATTTGCATTTCCCTGATAATCAGTGATAAATAAGCAGTTTCCATGTTCCTGTTGTCCTGTCTCTTTCGGTGAAGTGTTTGTGTATTGAGGGGTGGGAGTGGTGGCTGGGAGGGATGACATCTGGAGCAGTGCTCGGGTCACTTCGGGCAGTGCTTGGGGACCTTACAGTGCTGTGTCAGGGATCAAACCTGGGGCTCTTGCGTGCAAAACATGCACTCCAGCTTTTGGGTCATCTTCCTGACCCTTCCTGTTATTTGACGCTTTGGGTTTTGTCATTGGTTTTCTTGAGTATTTGATGTATTTTGGGTAGCAACCCTTTGTCAGATGTATGATGCGTAAGGATTTTCTGCCATTTAGTAGGATATTTTTGTTTAATGTTTGTCGTTGTCTTGGAGCCACACCCAGCTGTGCTCAAGACTTATTCCTGGCTCTGTGCTCTGGGGTCACTCCAGGTGGTGCTTGGGGGTCAGTATATGGTGCCAGGGATAAAACCCAGGTTTCTTTGTGCAAAGGCAAGATCTTACTCTCCTCCCTTGTGTCACCCTGGCCTTACTTGTTTTAATGATAGTTTATTTATACAAAAATTTTTAGTTTGATATAATCCCATTTATTTGTTTTTTCTCTTATTTCTGTTACTTTGGAATCAAATCCAGAAATCAAAGCAAGGACGCCCTACAGGTGAAGCACGTGTTCTGCCACTGAGTAGTTTCCCTGTCCTGGAAAGTGTAGTAATTTTTTTTTTTTCCTATTTTGGCACCACACTGGACTGTGCTCAGGGTTTACTCCTAGTTCTGTTCTAAGGGATCACTCCCAGGGAGGCTGGGGAACCATATGCGATGTTGAGAATTGAACCAGGGTTGACTGACTGCGGGGAAAGTGCCTTTCCTGCTGAACTATGTCTCTGGTTCCTGGAGCATTTCTTAAACAGCATGCTTATCCGGTACTTGGACTGATCGCATAATGTCTCTGCTTACAAGTCCCCAGTTCTGGGGCCAGAGAGTGAGTACAGGAGTTAAGCAGCTTGCAAGCGGCTGACCCTAGTTCAGTCCCAGGCACCTCATCTGGTCCATTTAGCACCACCACAGATGATTCTTGAGCATCACAAAGTGTGTTCTCCCAGACTCCTCAGTAAAATCCTTCTTATTCCTTTCTCATCATAGTGTCCGAGGCCTTCTATTGTTGGTCCCTTCATTTAACATATTAGTTTTTATTGCTTTTTGGTATTTTTGTTTGTTTGGGGCCACACCCAGTGGTGATCAGGGTTCACTCCTGGTTTTGTGCTCTCAGATCACTCCTGGCAGGGCTCGGGAGACCATCTGGGCTGCTGGGGATCAGACGTAGGTCTGCTACATGCAAGGTGAGGTCCCTGCGGGCAGTCCATCCCTGCCTGCTGCACTCTCTGGCTCCCTTCCTCTCTTTCTAAGGAGTCTAGACCCTCGGGTTTCTCTTTTGCCACTCGATACTAGTATTGTAAAATTCTGTTCCTCACTCGTCTCAGTGCCTGCCTATGGAATTCCTGTTCATTCTTTAAGACTTCATTTATGTAGCTGCAGCCTTCATCTAGGAGAAGCATCTCTGATATCCCTTTCCCCATTTGTCAGATTTAATTGCTTTAGTAGAGCCTTATGGTAGTGCTTAAAGTATACTTTTCTGTTTATAAGAGTTTCCAACCAGTTGCTTAGCTCATTGAAGAAAGGCAGCTGTGTGTATTGAGTTATGGTTTTTGTCTTTGGGTCACAGTAGGGTGCTTAGGGTTTACTCCTGCCTCAGCACTCAGGGGTCACTCCCTGAGGGACTTGGGGGACGGGACCATATGGGGTGCCCGAGATTGAACCCAAGTCAGCAGCATGTAAGGCAAGTTCCTTACTCACTGTATTGTCATCCCGGGCCCCTGTGCATTGAGTTATGTTAGTTATATTTTGTTCCAAAAACTAATTTGTAGTGCCAGAGAGCTAGTAGAGCAGATGGTGCTTGCCTTGCAAGTGACCGACCCTTGTTGAGCCCTAAGACTGTAGATGGTCACCTAGATCCGACTAGGAGAGATTCCTGAGCACAGAGTCAGGTGTGGCCCCAGAACCCAAGCTCTCCAATACCTCCCCCGCCAAAAAAAAAAAAAAAAAGAATTTGTGGTAGGACATGGCATTATTTTCTTGGCATGCTGTATTTAGTAGGTCCTCTGTACCATATGACTTCCAAAATGGGTTGAAGGGAGAGATAATTAAAGAGGAATTCTGATGGCTTTTAATTTTCCTCTATTTTGTAGGTTACCAAAAGAGATGAAGATTCTTCCCTGATGCAGCTAAAGGAGGAATTTCGAAGTTATGAGGCATTACGCAGAGAACATGATGCCCAGATTGTTCATATTGCTATGGAGGCAGGACTCCGCATTTCACCCGAGCAGTGGTCCTCACTTCTTTATGGTGACCTGGCACATAAATCACACATGCAGTCTATCATTGATAAGGTCTGTGACATTTGAGATGTTAATCTTGTACCATTGTTCTTGTTGAAAAATACTGACATCTTCAAAAGAGACTCAAACCATCAGTTGGTTGTGCCTGATTTTAAATAGCAGATCTCTTTTGAATTATCTTTCCTTTTTTAACGTTCAAAATAAGCTATGGAAAGTAATAAGGAAGCGAATTACGATGAAAGCTAACTGCCCCTCAAAGATTGTCACTTACAGTCTGACCCCAAAATAGCTAATGAAGCCTATAAATAAGTTTTTAAAGTGTCTAATGATGAATTTCATAGGGCAGATTTTGAGATGAAAATTGAATTCATCACTGATACTTGTACTGTGAAATCTGAAGACACTTGAAAACCTGTTTAGTGTGCTGACTAAATAAAAGTATTTGCGTATATACAGGAGTAATGAGAACCATAGTGAAACCATTCTGTTTTCTATTTGTTAGCTGCAGTCTCCAGAATCATTTGCAAAGAGTGTCCAGGAATTGACAATTGTTTTGCAACGGACAGGTGATCCAGCTAACTTAAATAGACTGAGGCCTCATTTAGAACTTCTTGCAAATATAGACCCTAATCCAGGTAGGTGGGAAAATGCCCAATTGATGATACTTTTTTCTACCTTTGAGAGATATAAGAGAATTAACTGGTAATGTATTCTTCTCCTTCCCATCCCTTTGGCACCTTATATTGTAGATGCTGTTTCGCCAACTTGGGAGCAGCTAGAAAATGCAATGGTAGCTGTTAAAACAGTGGTTCATGGCCTTGTGGATTTCATACAGAATTACAGTAGAAAAGGCCATGAAACACCTCAGGTAAGCATATTTATTAAAGTTCTGATTAATGTTACCTCTTAAAGATTCATTCGGAACTCTTTTTTTTTTTTTTCTATTTGCAGCAACTTAATAGGTTTTTTGTTCAATGAACTCCTTATGTAACTCTGATCTCAAGTTTTTAATTCTTTCTGTTCTTTCTGGAAGAAACTCAAGATGTGGTATATCTGATAAATAATTTATAGCACAGAAAATTTAGAGTCTCTTGAATATGAATATTCTCTTGAATGTGAATTAGTTTACTGTTTTTGACATAGTATAAGATCATCAATTCCTTCCAAACTTTTTTCCTAATTTTTTTTCTTTTTTTCTATTTTGAGCCACATTTGACAGTGCTTGGAGATTGTTTGGTGCCTGGGGGAACATATGGTGCCCAGGATTGGCCTGCAAAAACCCTTTGAGAAGTCTCTCTGAGTCCTCCCATCCATGTCTAACTTCTTTTGTGTTGTGGGAAAATTATTACTTTTGTTGTTTATTGTTTTCATATAGTGTTATTCCTACAAAGATGTGCAGATGAGTTTCATTTATTTTTCTGTTGTTGAGTTTAGTATTTTAGCTGCACCCAACTGGGAGCTATTTCTGACTTGGGGTCATAACTAGGAATGTTCAGGGACCATTCACTGACAGGGGCTGCACCCACGGACTGAAAAAGCACTGTTAACTACGCATGTCTTTACATGGTTGGAACTTGAATCCTTTAAAATACTTTGAGTGTTTTTTTTTTAATCTTTTAAGGAAAGTAGGTTTAGGTCACATAGCAGTGCTTAGAGGCTACATCCAACTTCAAGGTGGGGATTCCTCCTACTGGTGTTTGGGGAACAAATAAGTCTTTTAACATGCAAAAAGATAGTTCATTTGCATGCATATTGAATGATTTCTCCCTTCAATGTATTTTAAAAGGAATAATTTATGATAGAATTGATTATTCTAATACTGTTACTATGAATCATTGCTTATGATTATCACAGCTACTTGCAAGGTGATTGTTGTTGCAAGCTGAAGTTTAAGGTTAAATAGCATGTTTAAGGTCCTTGTGGAAGTTGAGTAGCAGGGCTGGGATAAAATCTGTTTCACAGTTACCTTTCCATTTGGAGGCATTCAGATATTAAGTAAAAGATACATGTTTCATCTTTATTAAGGACACAAAAAGAATGCGTTTTAGAATTCTGGTGAATTACTTAATTTATAATGAAGTTTACATAGTTTGCCCCATTGTGTGAACTCAGCAATTTCCGTGCCTAGGAAGAAGGCTGTACCACCAACTTAAGAAATTCAGTTAGTTTTTCCTCATTTTTCACTTTCACAAAGGTTTTGTGTGTGTGTGTGTGTGTGTGTGTGTGTGTGTGTGTATTATTTGGGGGCCATATCTGCAAGTGCACAAGAGTGTGATCCCAGAGTGTGGTGCTTGAGGGACCATGCAGTGCTGAGTATCACACCTGGGCCTCCTGTGTGCAGTGTGCACACTTTGCCTCTGACCTAACCTCCTGGGCCCTAATTTTCCACTTTGGGGGGGAAGTTTTTTCCTACTTTTCCAGGAAAAGTTTTAACTGAATCAAGTTTATGGATTTTATTTAACGTTTTGGGTTTTGGATTCACATCGGTTGGTGCTCAGGTGCTACTGCCGACCCAGTACTCTGGAGTTACTCCTAGCTTGGGACAGGCTGTTGTTGGCAATCATATCCAGGTCTTCAACATGCAAAACATGTGCTTAGCCAGTTGAGCTATATCTCCAGCCTTTATGCCCTTTTAAAATGCTTTTTATAGTTGTTTGATGGTGGTTTCATGATTTTATGTTTCGGGGGTTTGGGGCCACAAACAGTTGTGCTCTGAGACTATTCCTTGCTCTGCTCAGGAGTGACCCCTGGTGGTACTCAGGTTCGTATTACATGTGGTACCAAATATTAAGCCAGGGTTCGCTGCATGCAAGGCAAGCATCTCATCTGCTGTACTATCTTCTGGCCAATATGGTATGATTTTAAGACAGTAATTGATGGGAAAAATTTCCAAGTTTGGCAAGCATTTTGGTTCCCTATCAAATAGATTAACATGACATTTGAACTAGTTTTATATAATCTTCGGAAAGAGGGTCTAAAATGCCATTGCAGGATTATGCCTTGTGAGTTCTAACAGGAAACAATGGAGTGGTAATTATTTCAGCTTAAGAATTTTCTACCTTAGGGGGCTGGAGAGATAGACAGCGGGTAGGGCGTTTGCCTTGCACGCGGCCAACCCGGGTTCGATTCCCAGCATCCCATCTGGTCTCCTGAGCACCGCCAGGAGTAACTCCTGAGTGCAGAGCCAGGAGTAACCCCTGTGCATCGCCGGGTGTGACCCAAACAACCAAAACAAAAAAAAGAATTTTCTGCCTTGGCTGGAGAGCTGGTGCGGCGGGCAGGGCACTTGCCTTCCATGCAGCCTACTTAGGTTTGGTCCCTTTTGCCACAGATGGTACAAGCACCACCAGAACTGATCCCTGAGCACAGATTCAGGAGTAAGTCCTGAGTACTACCAGGTATAGCTCAGCCTCCCTGCCCCCCAAAATAAAAATTACTTTGCTCATGTGAAAAAGAAAAATCTGATAAAAATCTGATTTTTAAGTTCCGAGAGTTAATAACAATTGTAATCTTCAGGTTTCCACAATTTCTTATTTTTTTATGTAGCCTCAGCCAAACAGCAAATATAAAACTAGCATGTGCCGAGATCTGCGACAGCAAGGAGGGTGTCCACGAGGAACAAATTGTACTTTTGCCCATTCTCAGGAAGAACTTGAAAAGTAAGTTATGAGAATTCGAACTTATATTCACTTAATTGTTTAAGAGACTCACTGTTAGAACTTTATATTTTTGCCTATCAGAGCCATCTTACGGATATGTGAATTTTATTTTGAGAATGGAAAGCAAGGATGCACTGGATATTTTGTACAAAAACTTTTGATGTGAAGAAGAAAGAGCAGGTTTCAGAAAGCCTGTTAAGGAAAGCACAGGTCCTTTCATGCCACTTAATTTCCTTTCTAAAATATGTCTGTTTGAACCCCTTCTTCACAAAGTAATTATTGCTTCCCAGTATATATAGCGCAATATCTATAAACTGACTATATCATACATATACACACACACATGTATATATGTGTGTGTAAACACACAAAAAATAAAAAGGCCAGCGACCTCCAGGGAGGTCGATGGCGATGGTCAGGCGAAGGAAGGAAACGAGGGCCAGGCTGGTTGGTCTTAGTAGCAGTTTATTGCATGGAAGGATGTATGTCAAGGAGGCCCCAGGATCTCTCAAGCCCGTGCACCTTTGTTCTCTCAGCTTCTGTCCTCAGCCCCATCTTCCCAGGTTCTCTGATGCACATGTCCCCCCAGAGAGCCCTTAAATCTCCCTTATATAGATCATAGTACCTCTAAAGGGCGCAATATAGTGATGTCATCAAAAGGAGTTACAGAAAGAACATTGAGGTGGCAAACCATACATTGTTTCTTTACATCCGCAGGCCAGGAATCCTGGCCTCACCTTTACAAGCTACAAGCACTTGGATTTGCATCCCAAAGACCAGCCTGGCCAGAGCTGGAAATCTACATCCCAAAGATCAGGCCTGGCTAGCACCTGAGATCTGCATATCCACGACCAGCTAGGTTTCTGTGAGAAAAGGGAAACTGTCTCAATATACTGAAATCATTTACTGAAGGCAGTTTGAAGGGGAGAAAGCAGTCTCATCCAAGCTAGTCAGGACACACAGGAAAACTGCTTCTAGGACGTGTTTCTCCTCTCCTTGTCCAACCAACATAAAAGCATACATAATATTAATCATTTTGTATGGATACAGCAAGAAATACTTTTTTTTTTTCACTTTTAGCATTTACTTTATTTTTTTATTTATTTTTCTTTTTTTATTAGTGAAAAACCATGAGGTACAGTTATAGGCTTACAAATTTTGTGCTTGGGTTTCAGTTATACAATGATCAAGTCCCCATCCCTCCACCAGTGCCCGTCATCCATCCCCATGGGTCCCATCATCCCCCCCCCCCCCCCCCCGTCCCATCCTGCCTCTGTGGCAGGGTATTCCCCCCTGTTCTCTCTCTCTTCTTTTGGGTACTGTGTTTTGCAAGAGAGGCTTTGAGTGGCAATCATGTTTGGTCTATCGACTACCTTCAGCATGCTTCTCCCACCCTGGGAGGGCCCTCACAACACCCTTCATTTGGTACTCTCTTCTCTATCTGAGCTTCCTTTTCACCTAGAGTCTGTGGCTGGCCTTCCATTCATGGAGCAAAATTCCTGGTACTAATCTCAGCCATTCCTGTGTGTCACTCTCCCTTTTTGTTGCTTTATGTTCCCCAGATGAATGCAATCTTTCTGTGTCTATCCCGCTCTTTCTGACTCATTTCGCTTAACATGATACTTTCCATGTAGTACCACTTGTATGTAAATTTCATAACTTCATCTTTTCTAACAGCTACATAGTACTCCATTGTGTAAATGTACCAAAGTTTCTTTAACCAGTCATCTGTTCTTGGGCACTCAGGTTTTTTCCAGATTCTGGCTATTGTAAAGAGTGCTGCAATGAACAAACAATTGCAGATGTCACTTCGACTATACCTTTTTGCCTCTCTGGGATATATTCCCAGGAGTGCTATAGCTGGGTCAAATGGCAGATCAAATTCTAATTTTTTGAGAGTCGTCCATACTGTTTTCCAAAAGGGTTGGACCAGTCGGCATTCCCACCAGCAGTGAAGGAGGGTCCCTTTCTCGCCACATCCGCGCCAGCACCGGTTGCTTTTGTTCTTGTGGATGTGGGCCAGTCTCTGTGGTGTGAAATGATATCTCATTGTGGTTTTGATCTGCATCTCTCTGATAATTAGTGATGTAGAGCATTTTCTCATGTGCCTTTTTGCCATTCGAATTTCTTCTTTGCGAAAGTTTCTGTTCATTTCCTCACCCCATTTTTTGATGGGGTTGGGTGATTTCTTCTTGTGGAGTTTAACCAGTACCTTGTATATCCTTGATATCAACCCCTTGTCGGATGTGTACTTAGTGAATATCCTTTCCCATTCTGTAGGCTGTCTTTGTATTTTGGTCAATGTTTCTTTTGAGGTGCAGAAGCTTCTTAGTTTAAGATAGTCCCATTTGTCTATCTCTGTTTTCACTTACAGCAAGAAATACTTTGAGCTTATAGAATTGCACTCCTAGGGCCTTCTCGATCTCAGACTGCAGTGCTCAGGCCAGATATCTTTCTTATTCCTAACAGCAGGGCCCTAGTCTCGTCATTACTTTTGGATCATGACATCATTTGCCTATGATCAACCTCTTAACTTATAGTTAAGAATCGTGGCACCTTGGCCTGGCCCATCGCGATGCCAGGGTAGCACATAACTTACCGGCTTGCCCTGGTTCCATCCAGTCCCACGTCGGGACCCTGCCCTTGGAGTGCTAGGAAGTGAGGGCAACTGAGGCTTAAGTTGAGAAGGCAGATGCCCAGGAGTGAATAATATTCAAAGCCAATCAATTCCTAGGTTACAAAGCACATTAATTAATTGTCTTCCTGTATCTATACAAAAGGACATTGCATTAAAGTAAACTGCTCAAAAGACATAAGGAGAGGAGAAAGGCAATATTAACTTACAGTACAAGTTTCAGTGTCTAAGAAGGATGAGACCTTACAAATTGGTTGGGCAAGAGAGCATAGAAGTGGTTACAGACAGACAAAGTAATGGGAGTGACTCGGGAGCACTGTGATAGGTGCAACCTGATAAACCTAAGCTCTGTGTATATATATATATGTATGTATCTCACGCAGTTTGATCTGGAAACTCCTATCTTACTGAGTTTGATCTGAGGTGGTTTTGTTTGAGGTTTTTATGTTTGTTTTTATTCCTGACTCTGCTCTCCAGAATTACTCTTGGCGATGTTTGGGGAACCTTATGGGATATGCTGGGGATCGAATCCGAGTGAGCCACATGTAGGACTAGCACTGCACCCACTGTACTGTCTACTGTCCCTCCAGCCCCCTCACTTGAGTTTTATTGCATTACTTTTATTGAGTTACTGCATTTTGCATATATGAGTATGTATGAAAGAGAAAGAAAAGGAATAATAATGAAGCTGTTGATAGATACTGAAGAACTGAAAAGAAAACTATTATTAGGGTAGGCATTGCTAGCACTGTTTATATCTAACTGTTCTTTGATTATGCATAACATTAATATTGGACTAATTTAGTAATATGTAATGATGACCCCAAATATGTGTAGTTATGTTCCTGTTCATTTAACGCAGTTATTCACCACTTTGAAATAGTGGCGGGGATGGGAACCAGTACTCAAAATGAAATTTGTTGTTTAAGTAGGAATATTTTTTCCATGGAATCCAGATCAAATTGCTTTCTGTATTATATGTAGTATTATATGTGACCCAAAATTTAGTATTTTTGTGTTTAATAAAGATATTTTTCTACTTTATGTATCAAATAATCAAAATAGGTTTCTATTTTTGGTGTAGCATTGGTTTAAGCATGAGTTTTGGGGCACAGGGAGAGTGCCCGGAGGGCTAGTGTGGATGAGTTTGCATGCATGGGGGTTGAATCTGACATGCAAGGCAATACCCTACCCACTGTACTATTGCTCTGGCCCTTATATTCCAGTTTTTTAAAAGACCTTTTTCCACTCCCTTAACAGCATTCTTTGTACTTTGTTATATTGTGTCTTCATATATAGATGAAGCACAGTGGTAGGGCATTTGTTTGCCTTGCACACAGCCAGCCCGGCTGAGATGGGTTTGATTCCTCTGCCCCTCTCAGAGAGCTCGGCAAGCTACTGAGAGTATCTTGCCCGCATGGCAAAGCCTAGCAAGCTACTCGTGATGTATTCAGTATGCCAAACACAGTAACAAGTCTCAAAAAACGGAGACGGTGCTGGGCCCGCTCCAGCAAATCCATGAACAACAGGAGGACAGTGACAGTGTATAGTGTATATATGTGTGTGTTAATGACATATTTTCATGTGATAACAATTACAGACTCATTTGATATTTAGCTAAAGAAAATTTTTCAAACCTTAAATTTTAAAAATCTTTTCCAATTGCCTATTTATTTACTAGAAGTTTTTGTGAAATATTCACCAGTTTGTTGATTGTTTTGAAACAGGTATCGCTTAAGGAACAAAAAGATCAATGCGACTGTAAGAACATTTCCTCTTCTAAATAAAGTTGGTGTAAACAGCACTGTTACAACCACAGCCGGAAATGTCATTTCTGTCATAGGAAGTACTGAAACAACGGGGAAAATGGTTCCAAGTACAAACGGAATTTCAAATGCAGAAAGCAGTGTTTCCCAGCTAATCCCACGTAGTACTGACAGTTCATTAAGAGTTCTGGAGACTGTGAAGAAAGTGGGGAAGGTTGGCACTAATGGTCAGAATGCTGCTGGGCCTTCTGCAGAGTCTGTAACTGAAAAGTGAGTATTAGGTTAAAACTGTTGATGAAAGAGTTTAGTTTTTTTTTTTTTTTAAGGAACGTGTGCATATCGTTTATCTTAAGGAGAAGCAGGGGCCGGGAGAAGATAGTACAGTGGATAGGACTCTTGCCTTGCACGCTGCTGACCCAGGTTTGATCCCGGCATCCCACTGGCCTCCCTATTATAGCCAGGGGTGGCCCAAACAACCCCCTTCACTCCCCAAACCCAATAATGGGAAAGCCATTATCCAAGGGTTTTGTAAATTCTTTTTTTTGCAGAAAATTTTATATACTTTAAAAAGCATTAATTGCTAAAAAATGAAGTTCTAATTCTAGTTCTGTAATTGAATTCCTCTGAGAAACCCTGAACTTTGTGTTCTTCAACTTTAAAACAAAAAAGACTTACAGATATGTCAGAATTGGATTTTTCCATACCTGTTTTCTTAAACTTTAGGAGTCAGGAGAGGCGTTAAAGGAGGGAATTAAACTTGAGCAGGTGAGATGCTTGAGTCTCCATCCCTCATTTCAGTCAGTGTAGTTTAACATTTTATATTCTGTAAGGATGTAGTATGAGAGGAATATTTGGAGCCAAACTCTCTTGGTTGATATTTTGGCTCACTATTTCATTTTCTTTTCTCTCTCCCTCCCCCTCTTTTTCTTTTATTTTGATTTTGGGCCTTACCCAGCAGTGCTCAGGACTCACTCCAGGCTCTTTGCTGAGGGATCACTCTTGGCGGACTCAAGGGACTATGTGGGGTGCCGGCGATCAAACTTAGGTTAGCCATGTGCAAGGCAGGTGCCCTCACAATTCTCCTATCATTTCAGCCCACTGGTTCACTAGTACTTAACTATTTTACCCTATGCTATTTTATTTAATTGTTATCATTATAGTACTTCATATGTTTGTTGTAAGGATTAAATGAGTTATGCTACTAAGTGTGCTTTGGACAGTGCCTACCACTTACTATTTAATTAATATGAGTGATAGCACAGTGGGTAGGGCATTTGCCTTGCACGTGGCTAGCCTGGGTGACTCGGGTTCAATTCCTCCACCCCTCTCGGAGAGCCAGGCAAGCAACTGAGAGTATCTCGCCCGGCAAGCTTCAGGTGATGTAAAGTATTTGAAGCTTCCGGTGATGTGAAGTATTTGCTACCCCAAACACAGTAACAACAAGTCTCACAATGTTACTGGGCCCGCTCAAATCCATGAACAACTAGAGGGACAGTGACAGTAACAGTTATTAAATTACCTTTTTAGTTTTGATGTTAGCATTCACTGTAGCACTGTCCTCCACTTGTTCATTTGCTGATGGGCACCAGTAATATCTCCATTGTGAGACTTGTTACTGTTTTTGACATATTGAATACACCATGAGGAGCTTGCCAGGCTCTGCCTTGCGGACGGGATATTCTTGGTAGCTTTCCGGGCTCTCCAAGAGGGATGGAGGAATCGAACCCAGGTCGGCTGCATGCAAGGCCAACACCCTACCCGCTGTGCTATTGCTCCAGCCCTCTCGGTATCTAGTCTTCAGCATCTTGAGATGTTAGCATAGTATTTTTTAAATTTTGTGGGTTTGGGGCCACACTCACCTATGCTTAGGGCTTATACTTGGTTCTGTGCTCAGAGATCATTCCTGGTGGAATTCACATCCGGGGTCTGGGGTCAAACCGAGGTTGGCCACATGCAATGCTGGTGCCCCACCCCCAGCATTATCTCTCTAGCCACCCCATAGTATTTCATTCAACAGAAGGGTGTTGGTATTTTAAATCATTAAGAGTGATCTAATTATTTTCTATGTTAGAGGCAGATTAAAAAAAAGCACTTAAGTCTACCACGACAGACTGGTTTAGCAGATATTTATGTCTTTGTGTAATTGTTAAAATGTAGAAAATAGATAAGGAACTGTGAATAGAAGTAAATGTGTTGATTTAATTTATAAAAAAATATTTTAGAGCTATGATTAGCCTTTGAAGTTTAAGTCAATAAGAAATATGATTAAGATTACCTTCACTGTATCACTGTCATCCCGTTGTTCATGGATTTACTCGAGCGGGCACCAGTAACGTCTCTATTCCTCTCTTCCCTGAGATTTATCAACCTCTTCTTACTTGTCTTTTCCCAGTGATTGGAGGCTCTTTCAGGGCCAGGGGAATGAGACCTGTTGTCGTTACTGGTTTTGGCATATTGAATATGCCACAGGGAGCTTGCCAGGCTCTGCCTGTGCGGACGGGATACTCTCGGTAGCTTACCGTGCTCTCCGAGAGGCATATATTTATATATTTCTCACTATTATTTGTTGCCTACTGTCTGAACCCCATCAAATATGGTTTGGAAGTGTACTATAAGCAGCCGCGTGGTCTGGAAAGTGGCCTGGAGCTTAGTGGCAGTTGGGTACTAGAGGTCGGTTGCTGGGACTGGGTCCTTGGGGTGGGGAGGGCTCTCACCCACCCCACTCTGGGGCGCCCTGGGTGGAAACAGCCTGGTGTGGAGTCCTTATAGCAATATAGTCCTTATAACAAGATTACCTTATAGCAATACTTACTAGTTATTACCAACCAAATTCCAAACATGGTACTAAGTACTTTGTATAGATTCCTGGTTCTTCCTGTCAAAATATTACATATATATAGTTTGAAATCGCAGACACCAAGGTGACTCTGGATTGTAGGCTCTCCGTTGTAGCAGCCTGAGAGCCTCATGTCAGTCTTTGCTTTTGAAACTAGCTCAGATGCTATCACCTTTCTTCTGGAAGCCTTTCACAATGATTCATTGTATAATCAGTTTTCTATTTTTTCTATTTTTTTACATTCTAATAACACTTGCAGTGTAACTCAGTTCCTGTATAAAGGTAAAGGTAAAGGCCCTCCCGTTGATCGTCGATTTGCTCGAGCGGGCCCAGTAACGTCTCCATTGGAGACTTTGTTGTTACTGTGTCTGGCATATCGAATACTCTCGGTAGCTTGCTGGGCTCTCCGAGAGGGGCGGAAGAATCGAACTCGGGTCAGGCCATGTTGGCCGCTTGTAAGGCGAACGCCCTACCCGCTGTGCTATCGCTCCACTGGGCTTGCTCGAGCAGTTCCTGTATATTAAGAATATATTATCTACACTATCTGATGGGCTGAAGCGATAGCACAGCGGTAGGGCATTTGCCTTGCTTGCAGCCAACATGGCCAACTCGACTTCGATTCCTCCGCCCCTCTCGGAGAGCCCGGCAAGCTACCGAGAGTATCTCGCCCGCACGGCAGAGCCTGGCAAGCTCCCCATGATGTATTCGATATGCCAAACACAGTAACAACAAGTCTCATGATAGAGACGTTACTGGGCCCACTCGAGCAAATCGATGTACAACGGGAGGACAGTGACCGTGATCACACTATCTGATCAAATCTCTCTAGCTATACTGGAAGACCCTTAAACACAGAAATCATATTCATCTTCACTAGTTACACCAAAATATTTGGCCTGGTAATTTGCACATTATAGAAGACAAACACTTTACAATTTTGCATAAATATTTATGTTTAGAGGTTTTCTCTAATTCATTTAAATTTTTGAAAATATTTGTTTGAATTTCTTCATCACTAGAAAGATCATTTTCTTGAATTACCATACTTCCAAGCTGTGATGAAATTTGACTTGATGACATCTTCTGTAACTGATTGCCTGGTGATTAAACAAAGGGAATTTTTTTTTTAACTTATGTATGTTGGGACCAGAGACAGAGAATAGAGTGGGTAAGGTGTTGCCTTGAATGTGCCTGACCCAAGCTTCAGCTCCAGCACCACATTTGGTCTCCCGCTTACAGCCAGTGGTAAACGCTGAGCACACTGATGTTTGACCCAACTTCCCCACACCCCTGTGTATCTTACATCAATTTAATGACTTTTCGTTTTACTGACATTTCATGTATTGACTCAGTAGATACTGAGCGCATGCTATGTATGTGACAGGGACTATTTTATTAGTCCCACAAATGTTTACTTAGCTCTACCCTCATACCAGAAACTGTTCTAGGTCTTGGATATATCAGCTAACAAAATGAATAAAAATGACATTTCTTCAAGAAATTTGCATGTCAGTTAATCTAGATCTTAGTAGTATGACTCTTTATGTATCTTTCCTGCTTTGTTCCAACAATTTCTATTGATAGGCTATCTTGTTTGTCTTGAGAACTTACTTATCACTTAATCACTTAACTTCCCGTTAGTCGTCGATTTGCTCGAGCGGGCGCCAGTAACGTCTCCATTTGTCCCTGTCGCGTGCTAGTGTAGCCCAATGGCATCTGTTCGCTCCGGGAACATGAAGAGCCTCAAACCGATTGTTCATGATCTTCAGGAAGAAGTCTGACCATCTGGTAGGTGGGCGGCCACGCGGTCTCTTGACATCCCGTGGAATCCAATCAGTAACAGCTCTAGTCCAACGGTCGTCTTTAAATCTCATTACGTGACCAGCCCATCTGATTTTCGACACCTTGGCAAATGAGACAGCGTCCCTGATCCTTGATCGTCGACGGATGTCAGAACTCCGGATTCTTTCTCTCATTTGAGTGAAACGTGATATTCCAAGCATAGCTCTTTCTATTCTTCTTTGGGAGACCTGAATGGCGTTCTCATCTTGTTTGCGTAGGGCCCAGGTCTCTGAGGCATATGTTAATGCAGGAAGAACAGTGGAATCAAAGAGATGTGCCCGGAGCCGGAGGTTCTTCGTCCTCTTAGCTATTTCTTCGACGTTCTTGAAGGCGTTCCAAGCCGCTCTCTTCCTCCTGCGCAGCTCGGGTGCCAGGTCATTTCTCATGTTGACCTCTCGACCTAGGTACACATAGCTGTTGCATTCGGAGATGGTCGTTCCATTGAGAGCGAATGGGGCGTCAGGAACAAGGCTGTTTCTCATAAACATTGTCTTCGTAAGATTCAGCTGTAGTCCTACCTTTCCACACTCACGGTCAAAGTCGGCCAGCATTTGTGCCGCTTGGCTGATGTTTGGTGTTATTAAAACAATATCATCAGCAAAGCGGAGGTGGTGTAATTGCCGACCATCTATCTTCACTCCCATTTCTTCCCATTCCAGTCGTCGCATGATGTTCTCGAGGGTGGCACTGAAGAGTTTCGGTGAAATGGTATCACCCTGCCGCACCCCTCTCTTGACATCAACGATCACTTCTTTGTAGAATGGTGAGATCCTGGTAGTGAATCCGCAATACAGCTCACGGAGGATCCTGATGTATTGGGCTTGAATGCCCTGATTGGCTAGGGCTTCAATGACCGCTTCCGTCTCAACAGAATCAAAGGCCTTCTTTAAATCAATGAACGTTAAGCAGAGCGGCATCTTGAACTCCCGAGAAACCTCAATGAGCTTGGTTATTGTGTGGATATGGTCGATGGTGCTGAATCCTTTGCGAAACCCTGCTTGCTCGCATGGTTGTCCTTCATCTAGTGTTCTGCCAATCCTATTCAGGATGACTCGAGTGAACAACTTGTAGATGACAGACAATAGGCAGATCGGGCGATAGTTGCCAATGTCATGGATGTCTCCCTTCTTGAACAGTAGTACGGTCCTGCTGGTTTTCCATTGGGACGGAACCTTGCATTCAGACAGGTAGCGAGTGAAGAGCCGAGCCAGTGTATTGATGAGTACTGACGGCAGGTTCTTCAGGTGTTCAGGTCTGACCTTGTCTGGGCCGGGTGCTGTTTGTTTCTTTACCGACGAAATGGCGTGTCGGATTTCGGAGGGGAGAACATTGGGAACAACATACCCATCCTGTGGAATTTGGTATGTTGGCAAGTGGACATGGCTATCGAAGAGATTTGAGTAGAAGTCATGGATAATCTTCTCCATTGCCGTTCTGGAGGATGTGATGGATCCATCAGGACGTCGGAGGGCAGTCATCTTGGTCTTAGAGTTGGCGAAGGACAGGCGGGCCTTACGAATACTTTTGCCGGCTTCTGCCGCATCTACCAGTACTTCTGCTCTTCTCTCTTTGAGGTCTTCCTTGATCGCATCTCTGCACTGCTTTGCAAGCTCGGACGTTAGCTTGTGGTTGCCTGAGGCATGCGCCAAACCACGCTGGCGAATTAGCTCAAGAGTTTTCGAAGATAGGCGACTTTTTGTGGCTATCTCTCTCTTGGCGTTCCTCGCACATTCATGGAGGTGCTGAACCAGTCGATCGTATTCCTCATCAATGTTGTCAACAATGGCATTTTCCCATGTTGCCGCAATAGTACCAAAGAGTTCCCAGTTGGTGGTCATTCTGGGAGTTCTCTTTTTGAACTTTGCAGCCCTTTCTCCCCGCTCTGTGAAGTAGAATTTTGCACGAAGGAGACGGTGGTCCGATCCCGTTCGAAATTTTGGGACAACAGCGACATCAGTCAGGCAAAACCGTCGATTGAATATGATGTGGTCTATTTCGTTGTGGAATCGTCCGCCGGGAGACTCCCATGTCCATCGTTTAGATTCTGCCTTCTGGAACTGTGAGTTACCATGGATGGTCTTGGTCGACATGATGAACTCTGACAGTCTCTCACCCTGTTCGTTCCATTCTAGGCCATGGGTCCCGATGTGAAGTTCTTCAGCTGATCTTCTCGGTCCTATCTTGGCATTAAAATCACCCACAATGATCTTGTAGAAGGTGTGGTCTTCTTTATAGAACTTCTCTAGCTCCATGTAGAACTTCTCGATTTCTCTTTCATCATAATGAGATGTTGGTGCGTAGACAACGAAGATAGAAACTGCAGGCAGTGAGCCACATCTATTCAAATGTAAACGTCCGATTCGGGTTGTTAGGCATTCGAATGAATCAATGCTCTTGGCCAAGTTTGTGTTGACAAGGACACCGATGCCTCCAACACCTCTTTTATCGCATGTTCCGAGGAACAATTCTTCTCCAGTGTCGAAAACGGCATGGTGAGATTCGTGCCTTCTTGTCTCGGTCAGACCAATGATGTCGTACTTGATCATTCGCGCTTGTACCATCAGGTCCTCGATGGATGCATCTGATGCTAGCGTACGTGCATTGAAAGTACAGACGATCATTTTTGTCTTCCTTCGTTGTGGCAGCCTAGGTCGGCCTTGAGATTTTGTCGGCCTCTCCTTTCTCATCCTTCTCAGTGCTGCCATGTCGGTGAAGCCTTCAGGGTCAGGTGAATGAGACCAGTTGTAGTTACTGGTCTTACTTAAGAGGGAACTTACTTAAGAGGGAAGTTTTTAAAATTTCACTATGAAAAAAATCTTTGTTTAAAGGAGAGTAAAGGGGAATAATGTATCTGAGGTGTCTTACTTCTTGTATATATTATTTTGCTCTTTCCCAAAATGTGACATCTGTTTAACTGCGTTTGTGAATTAGTAGTGTAAGGTGGTGGTGAAATTCAATGCTTTAATATTTCACTATGGTAATACCCAAAGTATTTTCTCTTAGTTGTTTCCACATATAATTTTATAAAAAAATCTACTGAGTGAAACTTAATAACAATAGATAATGATTTATCATTTTCTCTTTGTTCAATTTTCTCTCCAGTAAAATTGGTTCTCCACCCAAGACACCTGTAAGTAATGTAGTGGCTACCTCAGCTGGGCCCTCTTCTGTTGGAACAGAACTAAATTCTGTGCCTCCAAAATCCAGCCCATTTATAACTAGAGTACCAGTATATCCTCAGCATTCTGAAAACATTCAGTATTTTCAAGATCCGAGGACTCAGATACCCTTTGAAGTCCCACAGTACCCACAGACAGGTAAGTACTTTTATACAATTCTAGGGAAAAAAAGTATGGCATAACATTTGTGGTCATTAGAGAAGTAGGTGAATTGTTTATATCTGTTGAAACTTCTTACATTGAAAGCTTAATCACGTGGGGCTGGGAGATGCTTGAGGGACTGGAGTGCGAGCCTTGTTCCCCACACGAATGGCCCAGAGCACTGCAGGGTGTATCCCTGAGGAGTTCTGAGCACTGCTGGGGTAGACCTGGTGGTCCCCAGCACTGTAGGCCTGAGCAGGATTCCTCGGTGAGGACAGCTGATCTGAATGCCGCAAAGTAGCCCTCTGGCTCCTTGAGCACTGCTTGGGAGGCCCCACCCCTCACTCCCAAATTAAATAGTTTAGACTCCATAATCCTAAATTTAGTTCTTGCCTTTAGGATCTTTGTATCTGCATGGACAGTTCAATGAGTTAGTTGAATGCATGCTTTGCATGCAGGAAGCCTAATTCACTATCTACTGTGTGTTCCCCTGAGCAGCACTCAAGTGCATAACTTAAAAGCAGCCTGTAGGCAATGCTGGGTGTGGTCCAAAAACCAAAGAAAAAAATCTTTGATTTTTGACATACTAATAGATTTTTGTTCTTGTTTTGATCTTGGATTTTTTTTTTTTCTTTTGGACTATACCTGTGGTCCTTGGGGACTATTTTATCTCTGCTTAGGAGCGATCCCTGAGCATAGGCCACTGAGTACTTGGGGGGACCATATTTAGTGCTGGTGATATAAACTGGGTTTGATGGGATGCAAGGCCAGCACTTTAACTCATGTATTCTCTCTCCCAGGTACCAGTAGGTTCTCATTCTCTTATTTTTTATTTTATTTTTATTAAGGTAATCATGATTTTCAAAGTTGTCCAGATAGTTATTTAAGTCATACAATGTTTCAATACCAGTCCCACTGCCAGTGCTCCTTTCTTCCACCAATGTTCCCAGGTTCTCTCCCAATCTTCAGCCTTTGTAGACATATAACAAATTCATTCCATATTACTTGCTTCCAACAAAATTTAAAGGAGAAACCAGAATGATAATACAATCGGTAGGGCATTTGCCTTGCATGTAGTGGACTTGGATTTGATCCCAGCATTCCATATATTCCTCCGAGCACTGCCAGGAGTAAGCCCTGAGCACTGCTGGTGTTGTCCCAAAAACAAACAGAAAAACCCCAACATCTTAAAGGAATGGCAATTAGAATTATCAGAAAATATATCAGTGAAAGTCCATTTGTGATTGATTGCTATATGATTTAACAAATGTAAAGAACTTCAAATTATACATATATGTGTATATATGTATGTGTGTGTGTGTGTGTGTATATATAAGTATGTATGTATGTATTTTACATTTGGTTCACACTCGGTGATACTCGGTGGTTACTCCTGGCTCGTCTCTTAAGAATTACTTCTGGTGGACTCGGGCGACCACCATATGGGATACTGGAGATTGAACTTGGGTTGGACAGTGCAAGGCAAGCACCCTACCCACTGTATTATCTCTCTAGCCCAAGAATTTCAGATCATTTAATTCAATATAGTACATTACCTGTTCTCATTTGTATAACTAAGTTTTCAGCTCTCTCATCTGAAATATAATGCATTAAATTGTATTCTGTATTTGGATATTATTATAATTATTCCTTCTCTGTCATAAATAAGCTTTATTTTTAAAAAATTTTGTGCTAATATTTTTAGAATTTCCATGAAATAGGCAAAACCTTCAAATGTAAAATTTAGTAAGAATGAAGAAAATTTAAATGAAAAAATATGAATAGGCCTCTAAGAGTAGAGTGTTTAATCCTATGAAAAGAAAATACTTGTTTGTAAGAGAAATTATTATAGATACTGCTTAAATGTCTTAATAACTAAAGATTGAATTAAAAATCTCTGGATGTAAAACAATAACTGATCAGACATGGAATAATCAATGTAAATGAGATGTTAGTTCATTGTTGGCAGTGTATAAAATCTCTTAGTGAGCTAGGAGTCAGCATGCCTTTCTTAATCTAGTAGCAGGCAGCTGTATGCACCACGAGTGCCAGACGCAACGCCACATGCTGGGAAGTTTGTCCTGTTCTTTTATTTTTATGATTTTAAAAAAATTTTGTTTATTTTTTGGTTTTGAGCTACTCCAACAGTGCTCAGGAGTTACTCCTGGCTTTGCACTCGAACTTTTACTTCTGGCAGGTGGGGAACCATGTAAGATAATGAGAAATGAATTTGATCAGCTGCATGCAAGGCACGCACCCTACCTACTATACGATAGGGCACTGCTCTACCTGTTCTGTCCTTTTAAAAAGCTCTTTTTTGGGTTTGTTTTTCTGTGGGAAGCAAGACAGTTTTCTTTTTTTTCTTTTTGGGTCACACCTGGCGATACATAGAGGTTATTCTTGTCTCATGCACTCAGGAATTACTCCTGGCAGTGCCCAGAGGACCATATGGGATGCTGGGAGTCGAACCCGGGTCGGCCGCGTGCAAGGCAAACGCCCTACCCACTGTACTGTCGCTCCAGCCTCGAAGCCAGATAGTTTTTATATTGAAAATTACTTAGAGAAAAGTATCTATTAAGAGAGAACACAGGCTTCTCCAGAGTGGAAATAAGTAAAGAGACAAATTAGCAAAATGCATGTTAAAGGGAGAATATGGTCTTGAAAAATAAGCCAAAAAAGCTCTTAAAAATTGGTTTAAAGACTATGAATTCCCATTTCCCTACACTGTTGCCTGCCTTCATGGACAGGCAACAGTGTAGGAAAATGGGAATTCATAGTCTTTAACCTATAGTCTTTACTTTTCTTCAGATCTGAATGATAGTCTAGCTGGATAGAGTGTTCTTGGTGAAGTGTTCAATTTGTTGAGTTTTTTGTACTATTTCCTTCCATACTCTGCTGCCTCAGAGAATCTCATTTGTTCCATCTGCTGTACATCTTAGGGGCTTTCCTTTGTATGTAGGTTCCCTTTGTGATCTTGCTGCTTTCAGCATGTTGCCTTGAGCTTCTGGCATTTTGAGTACAATGTGTCTTGGAGTGTGTTTTCGTTGGGACCCTTCAAACCTCTTGGATCTCAGCACCTGTATTCTTTGACTCGGGGGAATTTTTATCAGTAATTTTTTTTCCTTTTTGGGTCACACCTAGTGATGCTCATGGGTTACTCCTGGCTCTGTACTCAGGAATTACTCCTGGTGGTGCTGGGGGGCCGTATAGGATGCCAGGGATCAGGGTTGGCCATGTGCAAGACAAACACCCTACCTGCTGTGCTCTCACTCCAGCCCCTCAATGATTTTTTTTAACTGTTTATTTGTTTTTCATCAAATTTGCCTTTCAGTTCTTCAGGGACTCTGATGAGTCTTAATTGTTTTTCTTGAATGCATCCCAAGTTACTGATATACTGTTTATTTCTTTTTGGTCTATGTTCCACCTTCCTAGTGGAACTCCATCTCATCTTGTAGCTCCTTGATCTTTTGCTTAGCTGCTATTAATCTGCTGTTTAGACCTTCTACTGAGTAGGGTTTTGTTGTTGTTGTTTTTTTAATATCACCTACCATGCTCTTTGTATCTGTCATTTCTTATTGTGGCAGTTTTCTTATTTAGACTCATATTTTGTGCTTTGCTGTGCTCAGGTTTCTTTGAGTTCATTGAACATTTTCATCCATGGTGACGCTAAAGTCATTGTCTGAGGATTTACTGAACTGAAAGGTGTTGTTTGTGTCTCTGGTTGGTGATAGCTTCATTCATTAAAATTGGTGAGCGTTCTACTAGAAAACACTGGTTTTCTAGTGTTTTTGCTTTTTCGCGGATGAGTCTTTATAGTTAGTTGCCTTTAAGTTGTTGAGGGATTAAGCTAGGGGTTACCCTCTTGCTTCTCTGCCTGCCTTCACCAAATGACAGGAAGTATAACTGTGAGCAACATGCAATTGCTGAGCCACATATGCAGCTCCACACTTCAGAAGCGTGGGATGTGAAAGTGTCAGTTCATATGGCACAGGTCATATGTGGAGGCTGCTGGGACCAAGCCAGAAGGGAGGGGCCCTGGTTCTTGGTCTGGAGCAGGCCCAGGGATGTGAGCCAGCATCTTGCCTCACCTGGAACCTAGATCCTCATCCTTAGGAATCAAATACAACATGCCTGGATTTAGAGTTGTGTAAAGTCCTTGAAACTATGCAAAGTATTTGATTTACATGGTTTGTTTTGTTTTGTTTTTGTTTTGGGGTCACATCCAGCAGTGCTTAGAACTTCTCTCTCTTTACTCAGAGGTCACTATAGCAGGGATCCAGAACCATCTGGGATGCTAGGGATGGAACCAAGGTTGGCCAGAAGCAAGGCAAGCGCCCTACTACTGTGCTCTCACTTTGGCCTGCAGTTTATATGTTCTTATGCACAGTTTTGAAAAGGCAGTGCATAACTTACATTGATTTTGTTTTGTTTTGTTTGGGGCTCATACCCAGCAGTTCTCAGGGTTTACTCCTGGCTCGGCTCTCAGGGATCATACCTGATTGGGGATTGGGGAACCACATGGGGCTCCAGGGATTGACCATGGGTCAGGCCCATGCAAGGCAAGCTCCGTATGCACTGTATTATCTCTCAGCCCCAGCTTACATTGATTTTGAAAGAAGTCTCCAATTTCTACTTCTAAAAGGAATATGAATTAGTGTTTTAGCTATTTAATATAAAACTTGTGCTAATAGAAACCCTAAAATGAATTTGCCAGTCTCCTGCTAATAACTTTGTCATGAATTTTTAAGGAGCAGTTTAACAAATTAGTGGACATTATTTTTGTAGTGTGGTGTCTTGAAAGTACCAAGTTTCTTTTTAAAGTAGGCGAGGATATTGAAATTAAGTTCAAAGCTTATTTTATCTTCCTACATTAAAGACTGCTTTAGATCTAAACCTTTTTTAAAATGTTGGCTTTTACTAAGATTACATTAAATATTCTTTCCAATTTTCAAGGCTACTACCCACCTCCGCCAACAGTACCAGCTGGTGTGGCTCCCTGTGTTCCTCGCTTTGTGAGGTCCAATAATGTTCCAGAGTCCTCCCTCCCACCTGCTTCCATGCCGTATGCTGATCATTACAGCACATTTTCCCCCCGAGATCGAATGAATTCTTCTCCTTACCAACCTCCTCCTCCTCAGCCGTATGGACCCGTTCCTCCAGTCCCTTCTGGAATGTATGCTCCAGTATATGATAGCAGGCGCATCTGGCGCCCACCTTTGTACCGAGATGACATTATCAGAAGCAATTCTTTACCTCCAATGGATGTGATGCACTCATCTGTCTACCAGACATCTTTGCGGGAAAGATACAACTCATTAGATGGGTATTATTCAATGGCTTGTCAGCCACCCAATGAGCCAAGGACAACTGTGCCTTTACCAAGGGTAAGTCATAATGGAAATAAGGGTGCTTCGACAGTAGCCGTTAAGAGCCTTAGCTCAGGCCACCCACATACATGTTCTGGCTCCTCTCCTTAGGAATTCTGTGACTTAGGGAAATTACTTAACTTCTCTATGTCAGTTTTTTCATTTGTTGGATGGAAATACCTACCTCATAAAACTTGTGAGGATTAAATCAGTAAAAATATGCCTCTTAGAACTGGACCTGTTACATATTAATGCTCAATAAATGTAATGTTTGGATAGGAAACTGATGGGATAGTGAATATGAATCTTCAAAATGGAAGAATAAGCCTGGTTTTCAGATCTCCACATACAGAGAGGTGACTTTTCTGCACCAAAGTAGGGTGCACTTAGACTTGGATTTGTCATGTAACTTGGCTAGATATTAGCCTTTTGTTTACATGTTTGGTAGCTCCCCTCACCTCCCCCCCAAAAAAATACTTTTAAGTATTTTCTGGACTCAGCAGCATAATAAACTATTTAAACATTACTCCCAGATCCTAGCTCAAATTTATTTGCTGCTCCCTCGATGATTAAGATTGTTTCTTTTATCCCCCGTAGGAACCCTGTGGTCATTTGAAGACCAGTTGCGAGGAGCAGATAAGAAGAAAGCCAGAGCAGTGGGCACAGTACCACACTCAGAAAGCACCTCTTGTCTCTTCAACTCTGCCTGTTGCCACTCAGTCACCAACACCTCCTTCTCCTCTGTTCAGTGTAGACTTCCGCGCTGATGTAAGAAAGGTTTGACTTGCTTGATATTATAAGGATAGGTCAAACAAGCTAACTTGAGAGCACTTAGTCAAGCCAGGGTTAGCTGTGTGAGATATTTTTTATTGCTTTTGTGTATGTATTTGAGTTTGTTAAACATACACTATAAAGATAGGCATGGTGATATTCTGAAGATGAAAACAGCACAGTTCATTTTCTGTCATATTTGAAATCTAGTTCTGTTCTTATTTTTATTGTTCTTAATATTTAGATCTACCATTTATTGAGCACCTACTTGTGCCGGGGACTGTACTAAGCATTTACATGATGTTATTTAATTCTCACAAAAATCTTAGGGGGAAGGTATTATCTGTATTTTGCAGATTAGGACTCCTGAACAGAGAATTTAGGTAATTTGTCCAACTAGTGAATTTAGGCTGTCAGTGGCTAGGATTTTAATGTGCTTGGTCTCTGTGAGGACTTTCTTCCCCGAGGAGTTTCTTCCTTTACTTCACTTGAGATTCAGACATCCGTACTGTATTATTCAGAGTATTTCACATTATGATTAATTACTATTGTTGTCATTCCAAAGCAGATTTTTATATCAGAATTATTTCAGCATACCCTCAGGCCTTATGTAGAACAGACAGTTTTTCTGTTTGTTCTTGTGTTTTGGGGCCACTGTCAGCTGTGTTCAGGGTTCTGGCCTGTCTGTGCTTTAGGAGCGTTCCTTGCAGGGAGTGCGCCTCTGTAGGCTGCATGCTAGGCAAATGTCCTGTCCGCCCTACTAATGCTCTCTGTTTTTAAAAAATTCCTCTGATTTATTCCCAGTTCTAGAATCAATGTTTAATTCTTTTTATTAGAAAAATTCAATGTCTACAGGATATACAAAAATAGAAGAGTTGGGGCAAAGAGTTATTGTAGCCTACAGGGCGCTTTTCTCATATGTGATTAACTGAGGCGCAGTCTTTGGTCCCATGTATGGCCACCCAACCACTGGCAGGAGTGATCTGAGTGTTGAGCCAGGAGTAATCCTTGAGCACTCCAGGGGTGGGCCCCAAACCAAATAAATAGAACCGTGTTGTAAACGGTTATTTTACAACACCGTTTGTAAAAAATTTTCTCTGAGACAATCTTCTGGTAATATAAATTGGATTAAGTATTTCAATATTTTTGTCTTTAACTTCCTTAGTTGTAAACTGGATTTAAAATGTGCTTTAACTTCCTTAGTTGTAAACTGGATTTAAAATGTGCCCCACCCTTATCGTCCACAACTCAGCCAGTCTTACTCATTTGTGTTAACTCTGCTTACTGATTTATTTTGAAGTTCAACTAGATACCATATTTTTTTATCCACTGGTATTTCAGTAAGTCAGTGAAGTTTTTTTTTTTTTGGGGGGGGGGTCCCACCCAGAGATGCATCGGGATTACTCCTGACTTATGCACTCAGGAATTACTCCTGGCGGTGCCCGGGGACCAGATGGGATGCTGGGACTTGAACCCGGGTTGGCCACTTGCAAGGTAAATGCCCTTCCCGCTGTATTATCGCTCCAGCACCCTGGTCACTGAAGTTTTAAACAAGACACAATTTGATCTTTTCAAAGTAGATGAACATCCTGACAGCAGATAGAATATTACTTGCTCAATGGAAAAGCATAAATATATTATGCTTAAGAAATACATATTTCAGGACCCGGGAAGGTAGCCTGAGCACACGCTTTGCATGTAGAATCCCCTAGTTTCTGCCACCTTCAGCACTGACAGGCGTGGTCCAAAAGCTAAAAAAGAAAAAATAATTATTTTTTCTCTGAGACTGAGAAAAAATTTTCTCTGAGACAATCTTCTGGTAATATAAATTGGATTAAGTATTTCAATATTTTTGTCTTTAACTTCCTTAGTTGTAAACTGGATTTAAAATTCTTAAAATTGTATTCTGATCCTGTCATTTTTACAGTGCCTCTAAAATTTAACCAGTTTTCTTTCTAGTTGCATTTGTTAGTTGGTTTTGGTAGTATAAGTCAGCTGTTCTGTATTAGAACTTAGAATGCAAAGTAAAAAGAAAAGGTATTCTACTTTTTATTCTTAAGTACAAATAATGCTCGTGCTAAATAGTGTTTAGGACTTTAAATATATCTTCATAGTGAAGATTCACAATGAAGTTCTGTGTATTCTGTAGTAGTTATTCTAGCTACGAATCTGTAAATTTTGGAGCCAGAGAGATGGTACATACGGTCTCCGAGCACCCTCAGGACTGATTGATCCCTGAGCACAGAGCCAGGACTGAATCCTCAGCATCACTCAGCGTGGCCACGGTGCCAGTGCACTCCTGGCCCCCAATCTGTAGATTTTAACCCTTGTTGTTTTTTCTTTTTGGCTAATGGTTATTGCCTCCCTCCCTCTTTTTTTTTTTTATTTTTCAATCAGTTCTCTGAGAGTGTGAGTGGCACAAAATTTGAAGAAGATCGTCTTTCCCACTATTCTCCTTGGTCTTGTGGCACCATAGGCTCCTGTATAAATGCCATCGATTCAGAGCCCAGAGATGTAATTGCTAATTCGAATGCTGTGTTGATGGTATGATTTGGAGGGACTTTTTCTTATTTATGGGTTGGGGCGCAGTTGAATATCATGCATGTTAACTGAAGTTTTAGAATGATTTGGTACTCTTATCTTCATATTGTTGTTATAGGGCTTATCTGTAAGCATGAAATAAATTGCACTTATAATGAAATTACTTGAACATAACTTGGTTTGCTTTTTTTTTTTTTGGTTTTTTTATTTGGTGTTTTTTTTTTTTTTTTTTGCTTTTTGGGTCATGCCCAGCAATGCTCAGGGCTTCCTCCTGGGTCTGCACTCAAAAATCACTCCTGGCGGTGCTTGGGGGACCATATGGGATGCTGGGGATTGAACCCGGGTTGGCCGTGTGCAAGCCCTACCCGCTGTCCTATTGCTCCGGCCCCCATAGCTTGGTGTTTTAAGAGTGGATCTTAAACTTTTTTTGTTTGTATTCTTTTCTTGAGAAATGCCATGTAGATTAGTGCTGCCAGAAGCGTCTTGGATTTATTTCATGCTTTATTTTTAATTACTTTTTTCATTACTGCATGTTCAGAAACCTTTCACTATTGCTAAATTTGTGTCATCTTTCTCACCCGTATGAGGTTATGTAACCTCATATGGGCTCACGACCCACAGTTTAGGAAGTTGGAATTTAGGTAGATAACTAGACTTTCTTTGAGAGCTACCTCAAGTGTTAAGTTTATCAGGAAACCTAATTACATGTTCTTTGATAGCATGAACTTCTATTACTAGCTGAAGTAATTCCCAGAAGTCCTTTTATTGATTTTCTTTGTTTTAATGCAGGACCTGGACAGTGGCGATGTTAAGAGAAGAGTGCACTTATTTGAAACTCAGAGACGGACAAAAGAAGAAGACCCGATAATTCCTTTTAGTGATGGACCTATCATCTCAAAATGGGGTGCAATTTCCCGATCGTCCCGTACAGGGTATCACACTACAGATCCTGTCCAAGCCACTGCTTCCCAAGGAAGTGCAACTAAGCCAATCAGTGTATCAGGTGATCCTTTTGAACGAATGTCTCACCTTTCCTGTTCTAGGACTAGGCTTGTTAGTCCCCACTTTCTAAGATACATAGAACATTTCCCTCCACTTCACAGTCGTAGTCAACTCAGCATTAAGTGGTTTGTTTAGGTTAATATTGCTATTGGAAGAAATATGATATTTTATGAACAGTGCACGTTTATATGAATGCGTTTTTCTAATCATTGGTTTGTTTTTCCTACTTATCTGTAGATTATGTCCCTTATGTCAATGCTGTTGATTCGAGGTGGAGTTCTTACGGTAATGAGGCCACATCTTCAGCACACTATATAGAACGGTAATAGCACTCTTACTTCTTTAGTTTTCTCTGTTCTCAGAGTACAAATTATACTCCCCAGTTGCTCAGAAGTTTTGCTAATTTTAGATCTGTTGCAAATGCTTGGGAATAATTTGTTTGGTTTGGGACTAAAACCACACTTGCTTGGGATTACTCCTGATTGTGCCTGTCACCATGTGATGGCATGGATGTTCTGGAACCTGGGTCCTCCCACTCACAAAGATAGCTCCTCAACCCTGAAAGCAATTTTTACTTTTGCATTTAAAATAGTGGTGAGGGTGCTGGAGAGAGAGCACAGCGGGTAGGGTGTTTGCCTTGCACGTGGCTGACCCAGGTTCGATTTCCAGCATCCCATATGGTCCCCTGAGCACTGCCAGGAGTAACTCCTGAGTGCACAGCCAGGAGTAACCCCTGTGCATTGCCGGGTGTGACCCAAAAAAGCAAAAAAAATTAATTAAACAGTGGTGAGAGCAAATCTGCCAGGCAGATATTTTGTAGAACTTGTATCTTACATAGACATTACTGCCTTAGTTGCTTTATTTATTTCACTTATAATACAGTTAAAATATTTCTCTTTAAAGGGACAGGTTCATTGTTACGGACTTATCTGGTCATAGAAAGCATTCCAGTACTGGAGACCTTTTGAGCATTGAACTTCAGCAGGTAGGTTCTGGGCTCAGTTTGTTTGTGTTTTACTGCACTGCTGGGGATCCAACCCAGGATCTCTCCTAGATGCTATATTGCTGAGCTGCAAGCCCTTGCCCTAAGCTCTTAGTTTTTGTTTTATTCTCTTCTAGGCCAAGAGTAACTCTCTGCTTCTTCAGAGGGAGGCCAATGCTCTGGCCATGCAGCAGAAGTGGAACTCCCTGGATGAAGGCCGCCACCTTACCTTAAATCTTCTAAGCAAGGAAATTGAACTGAGAAATGGAGAGGTAAAGAAACTCAATCCCTCTTCACTTCATTCAGAATTAATTTATTATTTACGGCTGCTGTACCATGGTTTGTGCATTCACTTACTGAATTTTAGTGTGCCTTTTTCTGGTAGATGATGATTCCTTTTCGTTGGTTTATTTTAAGGCCACACTCATTTGGCAGTGCTCTGGTCTTTTGGCTCTGCTCAGGGATCACTCCTGGCAGGCTCAGGGAACCAAATGGGTTGCAGGTGTCAAACCTAGGTTGGCTGAGTACAAGGCGAAAATGCCCTACATGCTATACTCTTGCTCCAGCTCCAGATGATTCCTTTTAAAACTTACAGTAGAAATGAAACTGTGTATTCAGATTTCTTAAATAGTTTCTTCTATTATTTCTGGTTTTGGTGCCACACCTGGCAGTGCTCCATGCTTACTCCTGCGTCTGCACTCAGGAGTCTCTCCTGGCAGGGCTCAAGAGACCATACAGGGGACGGGGGATGGGACCCAGGTTAGTCATGTGTGTCAAATATCCTGTCTGCTGTACTGTCTCTCTGGCCCTTATTGATATTAATCTCATTTTAACTTTTATTCTTTCTCGCTCTAGAGGAATCATAATTATTTCAGTTACAAATTTCATTTTACTTTAAAAAATCATAATTTGTAACTTAAATAATCATAATTATTTAAGTTACAAATTTACAAATATTAAATTTCATTTTAACTTTGATTTTTTTTTGTCTTCCTCCCTCTGGTCCTACTCTCCCCTCTTTCTTAATCACTGATATTTTTGTTTGTTGTTTGGGGACCAAACTTTTGTTTTGAGGGGCCCAAATAAAAAGTAATCCAGGGCTTACAACTGGCTCTGCAGTCCAGGATCACTCCTGGCAGTGCTGAGGGGGGTCAGCCATGTGCAAGACAGGTGACCTGCCGACTGTGCTATCTCTCTGTCCCTCTCACTGTTCTTGGTTTTATTTCTTTCTTTTGGTTTCTGAGGGCCACACCAGCATGGCTCACTACTGACAGGATTTGGGGAACCACATCAGGTGCTGGGTTTCAGACCTGGGTCTGCCGCGTGCAAGGCAAGCGCTTTACCCGCTGAAACATTGGTCTGTTAAAGCAGAGGCATTCTTGGCAGTGCTGGATCCTCGGAGCCACTTTCACTGGTGCTTGGGGTACCATTATGGCCACAGGAGCAGTGCTGGGGCGTGGGGGCAGGTGGTACTAGGCAGTGAACTAAGGTCTGGCCACATACAAGGCACGTACTCTACTACTTCAGCCATTTCCCTGACCCTTTGTTTTGTTTCTGTTCATTTACTTAAATTATTTTTTCTCTCTGTGTGTTTCTGGGGGTCAAACTTGCCCCTCCCTCCCATTTCAGTTTAGAAGGGAAGCCACATTTTCATCGGTGTGAGATCATTCTTTCTCTTCATTACAGAGTGATTATGCAGAAGATACAACTGAGACGAAGCCTGATCGGGATATTGAGCTAGAGCTGTCGGCACTCGATACTGATGAGCCTGATGGTCACGGGGAACAAATCGAAGTGAGTGCTGCAGTGGTATGCAAGGATGGACTTTGTTTGGGTTTGACTTTGGGGCCACAGCCGGTGGTGCAGAGGTTTCACTCCTGGGACCCCTCACCACGCTGCTCAGGGGACCTCTGTGGTGCGAGGGGTTGAACAGGGTTGGCTGCATGCAAGGCAAGCGGCCTGTAACCCTTGTTCTAGCTCTGGTCCATTTTTAAGAGATTTTATTCCATTGGACATCAGTGTCTGAAGTACATCCATATTTAGGAGGCTCAACATTTTCTTTCCTCAGGAGATTTTAGACCTGCAGCTTGGTATCAGTTCTCAGAGTGATCAGCTGATGAACGGAACAGCAGTGGAAAATGGGCACACTGTCCAGCAGCACCAGAAGGAGCCCCTGGAGCCGAAGAGACAGAGCTTAGGTGAAGAACATGTCATTCTGTGAGTGTTAGACAGAGAATTCACCCCCCAGGGCATAGGGCATGAGTATTTAAAGAAGTAGCTGCGGTATCAAATTTGTGTCTGACTTTCTCACACGTGGGTGCTAACCTGGTATTAAGTGGGTAGTGATTTGCCCAATCTGGAGTTCTAGGAAAGATGAGGGAGATTAGAACAAATATAGCAGGCCATTTTTGTAGCCTGCAGTTTACCTCGTATTAGGCTTCAAGTTAGTTTCTGTGCTCCAGATCAGTTTATGCTACCTCAGTCTGGTTTTCTTGTGGGGAGGAGGACCACACCCAGTTGTGCTCAGGGCTTTCTCCTGACTTTGCACTCAGGGATCCGTCCTGGCAGGCTTCAGGGGATATATCAGATGCTGGGGATCAAACCCTGTTCAGTGGCACACAAGGCAAGCACTTTGCCTGCTGTGCTTTCTCTCTGGCCCCAGTTTCCTCAATTTGATTATCAGACTTATTAAAGACTACAAAATGGAAAATTAAAACCCAGGTGAAGGATTTCCCTTTTCTAGGAAACATTGATATTCTTGGCTTTAATATTACTACTTTTCACTGGCAAAAGTATGACTTAATCTTGAACTTGATTGTTGGTTTTAAATCAGCTATTATCTTAATTTGATGTTGTAATTTTTGAAAATGGAATCTTTCAGACATTTCTGATATCGTTTAAGTGATTAAAAACATGCCTTTGTAGGGACTGTTAAATTTTGTTACAGTTTCCATTAAACATGTGTGTTACTCTTGAAAGTTTTCACCTGAAGCTAATTTATTTTCCTGTCATTTATTTTCTCTCAGGGAGGAGCAAAAAACAATTATGCCGGTAACTTCTTGCTTTAGCCAGCCTCTTCCGGTGACCATTAGCAATGCAAGTTGCCTCCCCATCACAGCTGTCAGTGTTGGCAACCTCATTCTGAAAACTCATGTTATGTCTGAAGAGAAAAACGACTTTTTAAAACCTGTTGCAAATGGGAAGATGGTAAACAGCTGAAAGGAGGCTCATCTTTCAGATTTGTGACCATACCGTGGAGGCATTTACACTAGCTTTTTATATATATAATATATATTATATAATGTATATTTTTTTTAAAAAAAAGATATTATGGGGGGCATCCATTTCCTGTGGACTCTTTGATACTTCAAGCCCTCTTGCATTAGCATTATGAAAAAAAGTAAGAAATTTTACTTTATTAGGGTAACACGTTCACTTTCCAGAAGTGATTGGAATTTGGACATTTAACTTAAGCTTCAAGCAGCTTTTTATGAGTTTGTAGCAATCCGGTGCAGTAACTGAGCCATTTCCTATTTTAAATGGCTTCTATAGAAAATTAACAACTCAGTTATTAAACTAGCAGGATCCTACAATGATACATCTAGTGAAAGTAGACTTAATTAACTTATTTATTTCTATTTTATGTTTCACTGAGAAATTTCCATCTCATTCCAGCTGCTTTATTTATCTTTTTCATGGGACTTTGCATGGATTTTTTTTTCTTTTCTTTTTACTTCAAAGAGTGAAGTTAGATGTTCTTACCATAGAATTTTACAGGGTTAATATACTAGCTTTCTTTACTGCATTATATGTAGGAGTGTGGTGCAGTGCTTTTATCTGTAGTGTTTAATTTTTTTTTAATTTCCCATTTTTCAAGAATAGTTTGTGCTTTGTTAATATTTATACACAGGCTACTTGTTGAAGTAAGTAATTAAATATATAACCAAGTGCCTAAGTCTTTCAGCTGATGTACTAGATATTAAATTCTCCTAAGTTATGCAGAATCGTTTTTACAATTTTGATAAATTATGCACTAATGTAATGGCAGTTTTTTAAAATGCAGATTTAAGCCTGTACATTATTGAATCTGATGACTTGGCATAAGAATCAGGTGCTTTCAGCTTTCTTGAGAAAACCCTGTATGTAGCGTTTGCACTGACTAACAAGATGGCATTGCTGGGTTTTTAATTTAATTAATTTGGATGTTCATTGCATTATCTTGGTTAAATATTGTTTATTGTTACTTCATGTTGGGGTTTAATTTTTCTTGTTTTCTGTTAGGTTGAAAAGACTATGAACCATGTGATAAGATAACATTGGCTAACCTTTATTCATTCTTAAAAACATGAATAATTTGTGCCCTGCTAAAATGTGACTGGAAAGGGTTTTACTTGGCACCTGAAAGTGTGCAGTATGTTCATCCAGCCACGCTTCAGATTTGTGGGAGGTATTTTTTGAAACCTAAATTTCAGTCAGCATTTGAAAACTAAAACTGGGCATTCCTTCTGGTGATCTTACCTAGTTTGTCTCTTTGTTTTTTTCTGTTTCTTTCAGATTAGTTTGCCTTTTATTATTATTTTTTTAATTAACTTCTGTGAAGTTGTTTACTCTGAAAATTGTACTGGAATATTTTAAGCCAAGCTGATCTTTCACCAGGTGTACTGTATGTAAGGGCTTTTCCTGCTAGCAAGATGCTTAAACAGGATCATGTTATTGGTCGTCTGAGCTATTTAGTTGTTTTACAAAACCACAGCATTGTATCAGATAAGATTTTGATAAAAAGTTTTGTGCACATTTCCAGGGGTGGGGAGGGTTGACGTTTCCCTGAAATTTCTTGATCGGAATGAGTCAATACTGGTGTTTGATACCTGTCTTAAGGAACATGCTCATAAGGTGACTGATGACGTTGTAAATATGCCTGAGAAACAAAGGGGTAGTTTTGATATTCTGGTGTCAGTATGGAAGATCTTACACATTTATTTGATTCTCAGATGTATGAAGATGTTTCTTTGTAGCATCTCCGCGCAGTAGCCTTGACTTGTCCCCTTTGGTTCCTACTGTCCCTTTCTGCCATGGCCAGTGCTCCCTTTCCCGACAGACGTTTTATTTATTTCACTCCGTCACCTGGAATGAGTAGGAACAAGAGTTTTAAACCATGTTACATTAACTTATTTCTGACATAGAAATTAGCCTAGGGTATTACAGGAACATGATTGTTAAATAATTTATATCCAAACCTTTCTATACGTATGCGCTTCTTACATTTGACATGCTTCCACTGTACTTTATTTGCTGTTTGTATTTCCAAAAGGGATGTGCAAACCAATGTGTCTGTTTCATGGATATTTAAATAGTGAGATCTTCCATGTTGAAGGTAATGTATTTTTTTTTAAGATTTTAAAATCGCTATTTTGTTACAAAATAGAGACCTATTAACAGTTTGAGAGCTCCTTATGTGCCCTCAGGGAAAGAACCCTCTGTGCAACAGAACTACGCAAAACATCTTCAGCACGTTCTGAGGGTGAATATATACTACATAAATTGATCTTGTGTATTTAACCTTATCTTTTAATTTTAAAATTGAAATTTTGAAATTGGTTGTGCTCTGCTGGAGGGGGTTGGGATAAACTGCTTAGGTGTTTGCCTACTTGTCCAGTGAAATTCCATTTGCATCACTGTATATGTATATACCTTCCAACCTTATTGGTATGTCTTTGAACATTTATATTAAAATAATGCTTGTCTTGCAGCAGGTGATCCCATAAAACAGTTAATTCCCTATTAAAAATGTACTCTCTCTCACTAACAACATAGGAATTGTTGGGGTTTTTCCATATTGTATCATTTATTTATGTAGTGGTCAATTTCTATTCTCCTGTTGGGTTTAATTTTAATGGGAGTAAAGACACTGGTGCTCTGCCACTTTAGAAGAAAGCATATTGTCTGATTCTTCTCATAATGGTGTTTACTGATATTCTAGAGGGAAAAATTCCAAACAGACATAGGAAGACTTTTTCTTTTTTTAAATTTGGGGTATTCTCTATCATTTGACCCTTTTACCAACATACTGTGACATATGTAATATTTTAAAATCAGAATATAAAGCGAACAGAGAGGAAGTTTGTAGTGTTGTTAACTAAACTGCATGTTTTGTCTGTGATCTAATTAAGAAAGCATGGAGGTCAGGAAGATGGGAAAATGGTGGGTTTTTTTTTTCTTCCCACTTTTTGTTGTTTTCAGTTTCTAAGTCCCATTCTGAAGTTCATGTGCCTCACCACACATCACTCACTCAGAATGAATATAGCATCCATAGTTCTGTTTTTTAAGTCTCTGTTTATTTTGTTTCATAAATTCTGAGAAAGTTCCATATATAGCTCATCTAGTTGGTACGTAAAAAAGCATATTTCCATGTCTCTGCTTCTGTGACTTACTTTCAATACCATCTGATCAATCACTGTCAAGCATGAAAGTTGTGCATTGCACTTTGCAAGAGAAGGTAGCTCATTGGACCTGTGGCATTCGTTTTTATCCTATTAGCTGTTTGCCACACACAAGAGAATAAAAAAAAGAAATTTCTTTATACTAGAACCAAAATTTTCCATTTGTGTAGATCTGATCACTTTCTCTCAAATTTCAAGTCGATGCTAAAAGCACGTCCCAAATTAATATGCTGCCTTGAGAAAGTTACAGGATGCATTTCAATTTGTAGGACTTTAAAATGGGATCATTTTAAATAATCGAAAACATTGCTTTAAAGACCATCTTACCATATGTTTACATTTTAGATGTTAAAGCCCATGTTATCATGTTAATGAGGGTAGAATTTGTAATGATCAGATTCAGCATGTGTTACCAACTTTGAATCTGAATATTTCTTACCTCGCTTCTTTGAGTCAAATTCTGAGCATATTATCAGTCAATATTGGTAACTCATAATTAAAGGGAAAAGTTGCTTTGCAGCTGAATGCAATCATCAGTGTTGTGGAAGAACTTTTCTTGTGTTGTAGTGAATGAAGAGTGTTGATGGGATCACTTACTGTAAAACCCCCCTATAAGCAGAACCAAATTAACAGGCTCAAGGAGTATTCCTTATTCTGGACAAATTGAATAAATATGCTGGTTCTTCCTTTATACTAGCATTTTTGTATCCCTTTGCTGGCAAGGGAATACTAGTGAAATCTTATTTTTACTCCAAGAGCAAGTCATTTCCCCTAAGGCAGAAATTGGCAGGTTTTGTTTTTTTTTTTCTTTAATAAAAAAAAAAATTCAAGCCTCAAACCAGTGGAACACAGACACTGGCTGCACTTAGTACTGCCAAAAAACAAGGTCATTTGCATATATTTCATCAATCTGTCAAGAATTAGGCCTCAATCTATAACCCAAGGCATGGAAGTGCATGCATACTCTTAGCTGGGCAAACAATTATACTGTAGTTGTGATACAACACATGTGGCTTTTATTTGTACTGCACATATCCACTGTACAGCCACTTGGGAGTATCGTGGTTAATTAGCTTGCAGCAACTGCTGTCTGCATTTATACTGTTAATTGCATATTCTTTTCCCTGGAAGTGAAAGAGAAATGTTCTCCTTGTTGCATTGATTACATTTTATAAATTTGCTTAGCTGGAAAGTTTGGGAAAAGAGGCCTGTTTGTCAATTGTACAACCGATTGTGAAGCTCTAGTGTGAATATTTTTACGTCTGTATTAGACATTTTCTTTGCAAATCTATTGTTCGATTGAAATGTAAATGAAATTAAAGATGGTGTACACCCATCATGTAAAAAGCAGGCACCATCTCTAAGATGGATTTAATGCTCATTTTTAAGGCATATACTCAGCTTCTATTTAAAACTATAATTTAAAATAATTCTGTACAATGAAATGGGGGTTATATATGGGAATAAATTCTATTCCACTTATTTCAATTTGAATTTCCAAATTGTAATGTTTCCCTTTGTGCTATAGGAATAGGATTACATGGGGGAAGGCTAGGACTTATAAGGCCTGTATATGGGGGGAGGGTGGAGATGGACAATGAGGGTTGTGATGATAGTGAATAGCGAAGAGTGAATTCTGTGTGTTTTTGCTGTAGCGCTGAAGTGAAGAGATAATTAGCTTTGGCTGTTCACAGAATAGAGCATCATGATTTTCAGTGTTTGAGAGAAAATTGATGGAAAAAGTTTGCAGTACTTGACATGTATTTGCATGCACAAAATAAAATTATTTGTCCACCTTAAAAGTTGTTTGTTTAGTGTTAATATTAAGCTTATGATACATTTTAGTTATCTTGTTTTCCTTGGTATAATTTTTTGGCTTAACTAAGCTATCAGGATACTCCTTAGGCTTGATTTTACTTACCACCTGCCTTCTATTTATACCGCTGGGAAGGATCTAAAAGAAATGAAAAGACCACAGAAATAAATATATGTCTTAATCTGATCAATCACTTAGTACAGTATGGAGCAGTGGTTTTCAATCTTTTTGCGCCTGCGCATTGGCCGTTGAAAACCACTGATACTGTGTACTGTGTATGTCGGGAATGAGGAGTAGATATTAGCAGCTCATTGTCTAGTGCAGAGTACAAATAGCCATGATAAAGCAGTGTAATTATTACAGAAGCTTGAAGACAGTTCTGTGGGACATCAGGATATGAAGAGAGGTATCTGTGTTAGTTCTTAAGATTAAAGCTCCACAAAATTACAAAGCCTTTTCTCTAGAAGCTCACAGTGTGGAAAATGGAAAGACAAATGAATTACTAGCTCATTGAGCTCATTGAGCTCTGTTCTGATATAGGGTGTATTGAAACTCTGAAAGGAAAATTATGGGGCGGATGGTAAGTGTTGAACCAGATGAGGCAGGTTAGACTTTGTAGGCAGAATTACATTTCACTAGAGATAGAGAAGAAAAAAATACTTGAAAACCTACTCTACCTTCACAGCAACCCACTTTGTATCTTAACTTTCCTTCCCTACGGCAATTACGATTGCTGTGTTATATTTGGGTTGCAAAATAATTTTCCCAAGACTTCCTAATTAGAACGTAATTGTCAAAATTCAAAATTTTTTTTGTCCTCTTTCTACTTCCCAAAGATGGTGATGGTGAATGGAATCTCTTTTAATTATATATGTTACAGGGGAAGGAGTGTTTAATAGACATGGTTTTGAGTGCTGAGGTCTGTTATCTAGGATCTTCCCCGCCCCTTTTATATTGTCATTGATTTAAAGGTGAGAAAAATTGAGGCAGTTACCTTAGAAAATTTTGCCCAAGGTCCACATTACATGAGTTAGGTAGGGACTTCTATGAAGACATTGAATACTAATGAGATTATTTAGGGAACCTTGAGTGTTAGAACAATTCAGGGTTTTTGAAAGATTTCTTTGGCAGTAATGTACAAAAAGGAGATGATGTGGCAGATAGACCCCCAAGGAAAACAGTCAGCAATCTAGATAAGACATTTTAGAATAAAGCTAAGCAGGAACATAGGAAAAGAGGTGGTTCTGAGAAGTAGGCGAGCATACCTAACAAGATTTGTTGTAGAGGGAATATTATTAAAGTTGCCTTGGATCCAGACCCTGTTACTGAGAATAGACCAATATGTAGTGAATCAAGTAATCCTCTCTAAGCCCTAGACTGACTATTTAGATCAGGAAGAAAAGGAAAAACCATGGACAGTTGTCCAGGCAGTAGAGAGAAACTGTAATAGACATGAGATTTCATCGAGATTGTATTTCTTTCATAGTTAATGCTTATCCTATTTCGCACATAACAAAGCCTATGCTATTTTTTTTTTAAATCATTGACATCTCCCATATACAGCGATTCCAAACTTGCCTATAACTAGATCTTTTAAAAAAATTTGAAAACCCAGATCATTATCTCTGGGTGTGGAACCAAGGCATCAGTACTTTTGATGCTTCCCAGGTGCTTTTCAAGTTCAGGGATTGTAGAAAAATTGAGCAGGAGTCACTGTCATAATGAACAAAATTAGGCTTTGAGTTTGTTTCCAGTTATATCCATTACATACTATCCATTGTCAAATGTCCAGAACTGTGTGGTTTTCAAGACTCATTCAATGAGTGTTTTTAATAATCCATATACTAGGAATGGGTTATAGGAACGAACTTATTCCTAACTTCACAAGATTGACATTATAGTTGGGGGGAGACAGACAAGAAATTTTTTAAATGGTGGATTTTGGAATGAGTCATAGTGAAACCCAGAAGAATAAAATACAAGCAGACGATACTAGTGTGTAAGGTGGGCATGGTCACGAGACCTCTCATATTTAACATGTTCAAATCTTGAGTTTTTGGTATTCTCCTGCTCCCCAAACTTTATCTCCAGTCTACTCCATTTCAGTTACGCTGCCCTTGGCCGTTATATACACCAAGTAATACATTCAAAATCAACCACCTCTCACTATGTACGCCACACCTAGGGGCTCCCCCTGGAAACACAACAGCCCTTCACACCCCTCTTCAGCTCTTGCTTTCTTGGCTTAGTCCCACCACGGCTGCCAAAGGCATCCTGTTGAAATGTTAAGGGGTCATTTTACTCATGGGCTCGAAGCCAAAATGGCTTTTCACTTGGAGTGAACGCCAGTTCTTAATACTTTCCTCCTTGGACTTCGGTCCAGCCACACTGTTCACTGTAGTGCCCTTCACCATGCCAGCCATGCTCTCACAGGAGGGCCTTTACACTTGCTCTTTCCTGTAGAAAGTGTAGAAAGTTTCCTCATCCCCTCCGATAGCTCCGTGACTACATCTCTTTCTTCAGGTCTTGACACAACAGTCAACCTCAGTGAGAATTAGATGGAAAGTAATGGGGGTAGGGGGATGTTACTCCCATGTGTTTCATGGGGTGTTAAATAGATGTTTGACCCAAGATATTGGATGAGATCAATATAAGGGTTTCTTTAACTTTATATTTTGAGATGACAGATTAACAGGAAGTTACAAGAATATTACAGAGAGGATCCTTGTATCCCTTACGTAGTTTCTCCCCAGTGATAGCATTTTATATAACTACAGAATAATAGCAAAACCTGGAGATGGACGGAAGTAACAATCTCCAATTCAGGTTTCACAGACTGCTGTGTCTGTGTGTAGGTCTATGCAATTTTATCACATGTGGATTGGTCACTATGACCAAGATAGCAACTGAAATTTGAAAAAGGTAAAACTGAACTGTTCCATTACCTCAATGTTTCTTCATGCTACCCTTATAAATTAATTCCATTCCCCTCCCTTACTAATATTCCTCCATTCCTAATCCCTGGCAACCATGGATCTGTTAACATTATAATTTTGTGATTTCGAGAATGTTATTTATATATGAAATTATACGGAGTGTAACTTTTTGAGATTGGCTTTTTCCACTCAGCATAATTCCCTTGAGATTCTTGCAATTTGCTGCATGTATTAATAGTTTGTTCCTTTTTTTATTGCTGAGTAATATACCATAGTATGGATGTATCCCATTTTGCTTAAACATTCATCCATTGAGGAACACTTGAGTTGTTCAGTTTTTTTTACTATTACAAATAAAGCTGCTATGAACATTTGTATGTATTTTTGTGTGGATGTAAGTTTTTTGTTTCTGATGTATTTTTAAGAAGATTGACTAAAAGCTTTTTTTTTAACAGAAATGGATAAATTTCTTCCAAATACAATTTATCAAAACAGGTAGAAGATGAAAAGGAAAATTGGAGTAACTTGTGTGATCACCACCTAGCAAACTGCTCCAGAATTGAATGGTATCAGACAACATTGACTATCTCCAGGTTTCTGTAGGAAATCAGCACTGGCTTGGATGGATCCATTGTTTCAAATTTCTCACATTATGCAAGATGGGTGGGGCTGGTACTGCCTCCTCTCTGGCTCATGTGGGGCAGGATTCACTTGGCAAGCCCACTCCACTATTACTGGCAGGAATGAGTTTTTTCGTTTTCCTTTTTGTGGAGGACGCCCCTGCCCCTCAGTTTCTCATGTTTCTAATCATAGATGAACCTCTCCAGAGATTAGCTCAGTTCGGTAGCTAGACTCATTCTAGAAGCAAGAAAAACACAAGATTTGAGTTGAGGTGGGGCCAAGGAGGGAGAGAGTAAAAAAAAAAATGACAATTGGGGCTGCAGCAATAGTGCAGGAAGTAGTAGATTTTCATTGCAGGAGGCAGACCTCAGTTCACTTCCCAGTTCCCTGAGCCTTCCAAGAATGATCCCTTAGCACAACTGGATGTGGTCCAGAAACAAAACAAACCAAAAAAGTTACCTTATTTTGGAACATCACATCCTTTTGTTATTCCATAAAATCAGATTACAAGGTCAGTCCACAAGAGCTGATAGAATTTTCAGAGACTCTTGTCTTTTGGTGTCCTTTTATATAATTCCTTCCCTGTGGATTTGAACTGGACCTTATGCACCTACATCTCCGGTTTGGCTATAGAAACTATATCGTGAATGTTGAATGGAAGGAATTATTAAAATCTAATAAAGGGGTGGCTAAGAAAAATCTTCATGGTACTCTGTGGCTTAGGAAGATTATATAAGGAATGATAGTGCTATAAGCGTCCTCCCTGTCCCTTAGCAACATGGATTCAGACTGGAAGGCTGTGGAACAGCAGAGAAGTTTGTTGACTTACCTAGTCTGGAACTGGTCGCTGGCAAGCAGAAAGCATCTGTCTGCATAGGCAGCAAGGGGTGAAATTGGCTGTCAGTGCATTCATCAAGCCTTCAGGGCACCAATTTCTATGTTAGAGAGAGAAAGAGGACCCATGAAAATTGTTGCTGTGCCAAAGCAAGATTGGCAAGGTCATCGAGGGACCACGTTTTCCTTTTGGTGGAGGAAGTTGAGGCAACAACCATGGAGGTGCTTGGGAGAACACATGTGGTGCCAGGAATGGAATTGGGTTGGCTTGATGCAAAGCAAGTGCCCTGCATTTCCCGCACTTTGTCCCTACAGTATTTTTTGGGTCTTGAGGGCTACACTCAGCAGTGCTCAGGGATTTTTCCCAACTTTGTATTTTGCCCTTAAAAATTCCATTTCTAACATTTTATTGTTGGGACCACACCCATTGGTCACTGGGGGCCTGGGGTCACTTCTGCAGTACTCAGGGCCACCAGGATCACTCCTGGCAGTGCTGGGGGACATGCCATGCTAAGCTGAAACTCAGAGCCAGGAGCATGCAGGGTGTCTGCTCTACACTGAGTCACACCCCCACCTCTGGTTAAGTTTACTTTAAACACCTTTGCTTAAAGGTATTTAGTACTGTATACAAATAAATTTATTTGCATCTTTTAACAGTCTCCATGTTCTTTTTTTCTTCCTTTGTTTGGTTTTTGAACATCACCCAGCTTGGTCAGGGATCACTCCTGGCCTTGTTTAGGACCGAAAATGGTGCTGGGGGTTGAAGCTGGATGGCTGCATAGGAGGAAATCACCTTACTTGATACACTATCCCTCTAGCCCCTTACAACATGGAATAGAGTAGGTGATGTCCTCAGACTTAAAAATTACACATACAGGAGCTCAAGGGCTGAGTGCATTCTTTGCAAAGAGGCCTGGGTAATCGTGATTCTCTTGCTACCAACCACTTGTTCTACCTGCCCCTGCGTCACAAAGACCTACATACAGTGCTGTTTCCTTTATATATTTTTTTCTGCCTACATAAAAATGTTGAACACTCTTAATTTTTTAATCCCATCAACGGCCAAGACTCAAAGACTATAAAAACCAGCTCCCGGAAGAGAACAGTGCAGTCTCCTGCCCCCGTGCCTGGCTGTCCTCGCCGGGGCCCCTTGGAGGGGAGCGGGTTGAGCTTTCCTCCCCACCCCGACCAGGGCTCCGGCAGCCGAAGACCTCCAGGACCAGCCACCACCATGCTGAGACCACTCTCCGCACACATGAAGGTACTGGCAGAGGGACAAAGTCACGCGGGTTCCAGGGCCGAGATCTCCAAGCCTACTCGGATTTGGGCTGAGCATCCTCCACCCAGATCCTCCAAATTCCAGTAGGTGGGGGTCACACCCACCAACTGGCCCCCTGGCGTCGTGTAATCCGATCAACGGCCAAGACTCAGAGACTATAAAAACCAGCTCCTGGAACCATGCATTCGCGGCTGCGCGACATCTTATTATGACATCTTATTATGACATCTTATTATGACATCTTATTATCTCTTTCCTACTTTGGACAAACTTGCAGGCTATCGAATGTAGCCTGCCCACAGGGCAGAGTCTGGCAAACTCCCCGTGGCGTACCCAATGTGCCAAATACCAGTAACAATGATGGGTCTCATTCTCCTAAAGAGCCTTGAATATAATCTCAGGGCTAGGATGAAGGAGACGTTATTGGGGCCTGCTCGAGGCAGTCGACGAATAACAGGATGATTTGTGATTTGTGACATAAAAATACTTGGACTACAGAAAGAGCTCAGTAGGCTGAGCCCATACTTTGCTTGTAGGAGGTTTGGGCTCAAGCCTGACACTATAGTACCGTGTGTAGTGGCCCCCATCACAGAGCTAGGAGCAGCTCCTGCAGGATATGCCCCCCACCAAAAAAAAGGTTATTCCTATTTTATCAAAAATGACAGGAAACTAATATATGCTATTTTCTAGTTTGTTACTTTTTAAAAAACAATATATCCATGCAAATGTAGGTACAGGATGAAGTGGGATTGCTAGCTTAAAGGTATATGTTTTCAGTATGGAGGATTTAGTCAAAAAAATTCTATTGGGGGCTGGAGAGATAGCACAGCGGGTAGGGCGTTTGCCTTGCACGCAGCCGACCCAGGTTTGATTCCCAGCATCCCATATGGTCCCCTGAGTACTGCCAGGAGTAACCCCTGTGCATCGCCAGGTGTGACCCAAAAAGCAAAAAAATTTGTGACTTGCACCAACAATGCATTTCTTATAGTCTTGTTGAGTGTATCTGTATCCGTCGACGATCAAGAATCAGGGACGCTGTCTCATTTGCCAAGGTGTCAAAAATCAGATGGGCTGGTCACGTAATGAGATTTAAAGACGACCGCTGGACTAGAGCTGTTACCGACTGGATTCCACGGGATGTCAAAAGACCGCGTGGCTGCCCACCTACCAGATGGTCAGACTTCTTCGTCAAGATCATGAACGATCGGTTTGAGGCTCTTCATGTTCCCAGAGCGAACAGATGCCATTGGGCTACACTAGCACGCGACAGGGACAAATGGAGATGTGACTGGCGCCCGCGCGAGCAAATCGAGACTAACGGGAAGTGATTAAGTGATTAAGTGAGTGTATCTGAAAGGTGGATAATCACATCAAAGGATTCTGTTTTCCTTCTTAGAAATGAAATCTAGAAAAGCATAATAGTTTGAGGCAGAACAAAAGTCTGATAAAGCAGGGATCAGAAAAGGGGAGTTGCAGGCAAAAATCCCTTATCTTGGGGTGGAGGATGGGTTATACTGCACTGTGACTTTGGGGAAAGATAGGGGTTGGAGGGGATTTGGTCACACTTGGTGGTTCTCCCAGGCATGACTCCCAGCTCAGTGCTCGGAGCACACATGGTGCTGGGGATGGAGTCAGGCTTGGCCCCTTCAAAGCAAGCACCTTAATCCTTTACTCTTTCCAGTCCCATGTGATTAAAAGGTACAAAGACTAGGGGATCATTGGTATACTGGCCGAAGATTGGGGGGGTGAGGTCGGTGAGATGGGTGTGGAACTCTCTAAATCTAAATTTCTAACTGCTTCTGTTTTTCAAATGAAATAAGAATTGGGTCTTGCACTGAAAAGGTTGTAGTGGTACAGATCTAAAGAGTAGAGATGTGGATGGCTTCTCTGGAAGCTTAGCTTGCCCAGGGAAACTAGTGTTGGTCAACACCGAGAGCTGCCTTGAGGACTGCACCTTAAATTTAAAGTGGATTTTGATGGACAAGGAACCACCATGGATGAAGAGGACCTTTCTGAGCACAAACAAAAGTTAAACATTCATTTAGCTTTCTTTTTTTTTTTTTTTGTCACACCCGGCCTTGCACAGGGGTTACTCCTGGCTCATGCACTCAGGAATTAGTCCTGGCGGTGCCAGAGGGACCATATGGGATGCTGGGAATTGAACCCAGGTCAGCTGGGTGCAAGGCAAATGCCCTACCCATTGTGCTTTTGCTCCAGCCCCTCATTTAGCTTTCATTTAACAAGTATGCTTGGCTCTCTCCTGTGCTGAGGCACTGCAACTAGATACCGACTTCCTCTGATTCCACCAGACCCTATTGCAGTGGTTATTAATAATAATGTTAGTCCTTAGGTATGAGACCGCTGAAATCATTGACTTCAAGCAGATGACAAATGTACGCTACTCACATAAAAGTCAGAATCTTGATTCATGCTGCAGGGAAAAATTAAGTCACCACAGGATCTTTTTCATTTATTTTCATTATTACTATTGTAGGGGATTTTTAGGGCCACACCCAGCTGTGCTCAGTAATCAGTCCTGGTGGGGCGCAGGGACCATATGGGTGCCAGAGATCCAACCCAGATAGGCCACATGCAATGCAAATGCCCTACACACTGTACCGTGTCTCTGGCCCCTCAATGAATTGTTTTTAAATTGAGGGAAGGTCTTCTGATGTATTTGATTGGTGAGAGAAAAACAGCTTTTCAGACAAACATGCACATATACAAATTTGTAGACAATGGCAGAGTGGCCATGTAATCACAAATTTATAAATCTTTCTCCCATAACTATCATACTCTATTGTTAAAAATTGGTGGGGGGGGGATAGCGAGGGCAGAGCAATAGAGCAGTGGGTAGGGCACTTGTCTTGCATGTGGCTGAGCCTCGTTTGAACCCCGTCTTCCCACAGAATCCCCCAAGCACCACCAGAAGTGATCCCGCAGGAGAGGGCTGCGAACCTTACGGAGTTACACATATCCGTCTCCTTAGCACTGGTGTGGTCGACACCACCGCCTCCCCGCCACTTCCGCAAAATAAAATGTTCGTAGGTTTGGAAATCTGGAAGGTGACTAGATGATTTTTCTTGCTTAAATTCTATTGCATACAGTGCACTTCTGCTTTGCGGAGGGCGGCGGGGTGGCTCAGGTTGCTTCTGCACTTGGTCTAGGGAAGGATCGGCCGCCTGCAAAATAAACGTCTCCACAGCTCACTTTCTGGTTCAAAGCAAGGCAAAAACAGCAGCTTTCAAGCGTATCTGTATCGTGAAGGTATTTTGTCCAAGGGAGGACCCGTAGCTGTTCTACGCCAACGGAGAAGCTGATTCTCATTGGGCGGTGTGTCCCGGCCCTGACGCAACGAGCCACCTCATTGGTCCGCTCGCTCGGGACGTCAGCGGCTTTTCTCCGAATGCTCCAAACGCCGTTCCATTTTCCTTCCTACAATCCGGCTCTTCCTTCCTCGTGAAGAGCCTGGAACTGCTGGCCGAAGGACACCGCGTCGAGCCGGGCCGGGAACTGCACTGAGGTCAGCCAGGAAGAAGCGGCAGGCATGGAAGACGAGGGGAGGTGGTGGCTGCGTCAGACGGACTGTGGGCACGCCCCTGGGGCCCCGGATTCCGCTCGCCCCGCCCTCCTGGTTTTCCCCACCCATTCCGGGATCCCCCCAACCCCCACCAGGAGCCCCTCTGCTGCGTCCAGTCCTGCCTCTTCCGCCCTGCTTTCTGGCCTCGCCCCTTCCTCCCGCCAGCAGGCCCCGCCTTTCCCCTCGCCGCTGGCCCCGCCCCTTTCCCTGCCATCAGGCCCCGCCTTTCTCTTCGCTGTTGGCTCCGCCCCTTACTTCCTCCCGCCTCTAGGCCCCTCCTATTTCGCGCCCTCACTTCTGGCCTTGTCATCTCGCCTCCAGCCTCCGCCTATTTCGCGCCCTCGCTCCTGGCCCCGCCCCTTACTTCCTCCCGCCTCTAGGCCCCGCCTACTCGCCCCCTCGCTGCTGGCCCCGCCCCTTACTTCCTCTCGCCTCCGGGCCTCGCCTTTTCCTTCTCTGTTGGCCCTGCCCCTTATTTCCGTTCCCCCACCTCCAGGCCCCGCCTATTTCGCGCTCTCGCTGCTGGCCCCACCCCTTACTTCCTGCCACCAGGCCCCGCCGTTACCTTCGCTGCTGGCTCCACCCCTTACTTCCTCCTGCCTCAAGGTCCCGCCTATTTCGCTCCCTCGCTGCTGGCCCCGCCCCTTACTTCCTTTCTCCTCCTTGCCCTGCGGGTTTCGCGCTCAAGCTGCTAGTCCCGCCCCTTCCTCCCGCTACTAGACCCCGCCTTTCCCGCGCCCTCGCTGCTGGCCCTGCCCCTTCACGTTTCTCCCCAGGAGGCCCGCCTCTTCCGCATGCTTCGACGCTGGCCCCGCCCCCGTCCTCAAGCCCCCTTCGCTTCCCAGTTCTCCTGTCATTCAGCTGCAGCGCTGGGCTCCTTTGTGCCCGAGTTCCTCTTGGGGCGCTGTCTCTTGCGCGGACTCTCCCATATCCTTGGCCTCTGTCCCACGGACCCCGCTGCTGGCTCCGGGGCTCGGTCCTGGAGCCCTTCTCAGTGCCTCTTTCCTGGAGCTCCCCATCTCCATCCGACTCTGCGTTTGGTACCGTCTTTCCAGGGCTTTTGATGTTTGATTCCACCGCGCAACCGCTTCCTTCAGCACCAGGCTGGAGAATTTGCAACTTTAAAAAAAAAAACACATGATTTATTAGTTTAACTTGTGGTTTGGGGGCCACACCTGGCGGTGTGCAGGAGCTATTCCCTGCTCAGCTCTGGGGTCTTCACACTTGCAGAGGATGGAGACCGTCTTCAGCCTGCAAAGGATGCTCTCCAGCCCTTTGAGCTATCTCTGACCCCGTTTTTAATTGGGATGGGGGCGGGGAACTTTGCTTTTAGTAAAAGCCACTTCTTAGGCATGGCTCACCCCCATCCTACTGTGGGGTCCTCCCCCAGATTTCTAATCCAGGTTAGTTCAAGAGCTCCCTGTCCCCAGGGACAGTCATTTTTATAATAGGACCAGAAGGTCTGATGATAATGCTGTGATAATGATGTAATGAAGAAACACCATTTCAGGTTGCTCAGAATGCTTGGGGCCCCACTTTGCCTTTGCCACCAAATTCTGACTATTTCTGTTGCAGAAGCTACGTTCTACCTGTGGGGTTTTTTGGTTTGTTTTTGTTTGGGGGCCACAGCCGCCTGTGCTCAGGGTGTCTGCAGTCTGGGATCATTCCTCACAGGGCTAGAGGACCTATGGGGTGCTGGGCATCAAACCCCCAAGCAGCGTGGGAGGCTAACTCCCACCTGCTGTGCTATTGCTCCGGCCTCCTAACTGTGGCCTTACAAACACTTGGGAATGAGGAAATCTTGTCATGGCCTGTTTTAACCAAACTTTTGGGGCCCCAGTGCCCCTCCATCCTAAGTCTCCCAGGTGCTAACAGGGAGGTTGCAAGCTAGAGAGAAGAGTAGACTTGGCAAAGTGAGTGGCACAGCATCATGCTTTTGATGTTGCTTTTGATAGTTTTCTTCTGAGGATTCGTATCCAGCTTTTCAGTTACCTAACACTGTTAGGTAAAAAGAGATCAAATATCTGTAAAGCTTCTAGACAGTATTGAGTCTCTAACTCAAGGTTCAAGTACCGTGCAACTTACTCAGAAGACTGACATCCACCTTCCATATCTTGGAGCCCCGTGTCCTGGGTCTCATCTGAGCTATATCATTTGCATTGGCGTGACAGAGAAACTTCCCTTATTTGTTTTAGTTTTGCTTTAGTTTTACTTTCCACACACACACAAAAGTCATGTTAAGGGGCTGGAAAGATAGTGAAGCAGATAAGGTACTTACCTTGCATGCAGGCTACCCAGGTTCAATCCCCGGCATCCCTTGTGATTCCCAAGCACTAATTCTGGGTGCAGAGTCAGTCAGGAGTTACCCCTGAGCATGGCCGGGTGTGGCCTCAAAACCAAAAAAACAAAACAAAAAAGTTGTGATAAGTGGTATCACTCAGGGTCAAGATCCAGATTTGTTGAGATGTTGACATTTTACTTAGGAGAGAAAGTCGCTTTCAGGGTCCTGCTCCCAGAAGGGAACTCCTGTCCCTCAGGTTCACATCTCTCTGTGGCTCTTTCTTCCAGGCATCATGACGACCCTGGACGACAAGTTACTGGGGGAGAAGTTGCAGTACTATTACAGCAGCAGCGAGGGGGAGGACAGTGACCGCGAGGACAAGGACGAAGGCAGCGGTGCTCTGGCTGGTGGACCCATGATCGCAGACGCCGAGGGGACGGGTGAAGGCATCTCAGTGAACACAGGTACTGGAAAACTCGGAGTTCTGGGGAACGGTTTTAAGATGTCCATCAAGTGAGTATCTGAAGGCTCTCCACCACTTCCTTTAATTCAGCCCCACTTCCAGAGATAACCCAGTGTTGACCCTTATTCACATCTGCTTTGAGCCTTCACACTGCCTAAGACATATGTGTCTACACAGCAACACACGAGTAGCTTGGGTTAGTTTGGGGTAGAATCCAACTTCTTAAAATAATGGTGGTTTGATATCACCTGAATAACAAGTATGCTTATATTATAGGATGAATTTCTAGAGATAGCACATTGATGCTCTTCCTTTTGTTGTTTTGGGAGGTGTCTGGGGAACAGTCTTGGTGATACCTGGCTCTTATGTTCTGTGGCTGACAACTCAGGGCTTTGGGGACCCAGAAGTCCTGCGGGCCACCAGGACAGTACCTGACAGTGCTCAGGGAGCCACACTACCAGGAATTGAACTCAGAGCCTCACAAATGCAGGCATAGGCGCCAGTTCTTTGACCTGTCTTCCCAGCCTTGTTGTTTTTCTTTCTTTATATTTTGCTTTTCTGTTTTGTCTTGGGGAGTCACACTGGACTGTACTCGGGGCTTACCACTAGCTATGTGCTCAGGGATCCCTCTCAGTGGGACTCAGGACCACATGGGGTCCCAGGCATGAACCCAGGTTGGTTGTGTACAAGGCAAGCATCCTACCCATTGTGCCATCTCTCCAGCCCCCAAAGCAAGTTTAGGAGCTTGCATAACCATGTGTTTCCACTGGGAACACCATTAGATACAGAGATAAATTTAGTAATCGTTGGCCTCTTTTTTTATGTTTGGGTCTTCCTGTTCTAGAAACTGCCAGAACTTTTCAAGTTAGTTTCTTCTTAGGATTTATTGTAGATGATTGTTTTCTTCACGTAGATTTTGGTTTGGGGACAGTGCTGGGGATTGAACCCAGGTTTTACACATGCAAATACTCTGCTGCTGACTCAGATCCCAACCCATGCTCACTGAGGTCTTTTCCCTCCCTCCACCCCCGTGGTAATTAATAACCAAGAGTTATTTGGGTAGCAAATAAATTTGGCTGGCAGAGATCTGTTTTTCACCCATGTTCCTGCCTTCCTGTGGGTCAGCAGAGGTCTGCGTCATGCATCCTCTCGTTCCAGAAAGTAGGCTTAAGGAACACCCTTTCTGTAGGACCTGGCATGTTTATCAGCAAGGATGCACTATTGGAAACACGTACTAATTCATAAATTTGGGGCTCTGAATTCATTGGCCCAAGAAGACGCATGGCAGATCCATTAGAGGGCAAGGTACATGGATGGAAACTAGGGGAGGTACCAGGAATACCAAGGCAATAAGCAGAAGTATAGAATATGGGGGGCTGGTGGTCTTGGAATATCCTGAAAACAGAACAACCCAGCACGATCTTGTTATAAACATTCAGATCCTATGGAAACATAGGCAGGAAAACCTGAAGTGTTCTTTACATGACCACTGTCAACAGTTTACATTCTGACCCTTTTCCTATGGACATGCAAATGTACACACACATATATAGTAACCATAAATATTTGTACAGCCAGCTCTTTTTACTTTTTTTGCCCAATTTATTTGGCCATCTTTTATGGCCAGGAACAGCTGCCACAATCTACGAGTCGGCATTTTTCTTTTAAAATAACAAATGAGTAATACGTTATTTTATTATTATTTTATGGTTATTTTATTTCATTGTTTTATTGTCTCACAATGGAGACGTTACTGGTGCCCACCCGAGCAAATCGACGAACGGGAAGACAGTGCTACAGTTCTACATTAGCACAGTGGGTAGGGCGTTTGCCTTGCACGCGGGTGACCTGGGTTCAGTTCCTCCATCTCTCTCCGAGAGCCCGGCAAATTACCGAGAGTATCCCGCCTGCACGGCAGAGCCTGGCAAGCTCCCCGTGGCGTATTCGATGCCAAAAACACTAACAAGTCTCACAATGGAGAGTTACTGGTGCCTGCTCAAGCAGATCGATGAAAAACGGGAGGACAGGACAGTGCTACAGTTATTATTATTGGGGGGAGTGGTTTGGGGGCCACTCCCTGCAGTGCTCTGGGGCTTTTCCTGGTTCTGTGCTCAGGAGTGATCCCCTGGCTGTGATCGGGGAACCATAAGCAGGGCCAAGTATCTAAAAGCACACGACCTCCTAGATAGTCTCTCCAGCCTGTAATTTATTCCACTCATTTTATGTTGGGCCTGGTCTTGATCCTTTAATAATCGTAAGCCATGCTGCAGTGGACATCTCGGTGTGTGGACCATGCTGCCCAGTGTGTCATGTGGTCCCTGGAGTTAAGCCTTAGCCAGATGCTGTTGTACCTCCAGAAGGGAGTGACTCTGTAATTTTTCAGCCTTCCGGGTCACTTTCCCATGTTCCCTGCCATCCCAGGTCCAAAGGGTGTGATCAATGACTGGCGCCGCTTTAAGCAGTTGGAAACCGAGCAAAGGGAGGAGCAGTGCCGGGAGATGGAGCGGCTGATCAAGAAGCTCTCGATGAGCTGCAGGTCCCATCTGGACGAGGAGGAGGAGCAGCAGAAGCAGAAGGACCTCCAGGAGAAGATCAGTGGGAAGGTACGGAGCAGGGCCGGGCTCCTCTCCAAAGCTGTCCTATGGCCGGGGTTGGGGGCGTAGGGAGGCAAGTGCCTCCAGAGGTGGGATGGTTCAGGGGAGAGTGAGGAATCACTCGTAATCTGAACCCTTCCGGGTCTGAATCGCAGCTCTGCTGCTAGAGATCTTGGGGACCCTCTTATCCACCGAGCTTGTATTGTCATCAGCACCATTTTGGCCTTGGGAAGTGTTCAGTAAATGGAATTTGTTCCCCAAGCTCTTTTGTACTTAGTCCAAAAGTAACTTGGGAGGTCGGGGAGATAGTATAGCAAGAGGGTGCTTGCCTCACACACAGCTGACCTGGGTTTGATCCGCAGCACCCCATGTGGGTTCCTCTGAGCCCTGCTGGAGTGATTCCTGAGCACAGAGTAAGTCCTACTTACCGCCAGATGTACCCCAACACCAAAACAGTAAAAATAACCTTCAGAGATTGTAGGATAACATTGGTTTATCCTTTCTGCCATGCCACAGGAAGCTTAAGTTTATTGGGTTACTCCCATCACAGTGCTCCCATTCCTCTGTGTTTATTTGCAGCTTCTTTCTTTGTACTCTGTTGACTTGTCAATATTGTTTTTCTCTTCTTAAGTCCTTTGCATAGTTAATTCAGAGCAATGTCCTTTTTGTATGTGCACAAGAAGACACTTAATGCTATGCTTTAGTAACTTGGGAGTTAATTGACTCTGAATGATATTTACCTCCTGGATGTCTGTTCTCTCAACTTAAGTCTCAGTTGCCCTTACTTCCTAGCACCCCAAAAGTAGGGTCCTTATGAGGGACTGGATGAACCCAGGTCAAGCTGTGAGCTATGCTACCCTGGCATCAAAATGGGCCTGGCCAAAGTGCCATAATGCTTAACTGTAAATTAAGAGTATGGTCATGGACAAATGCTGTCAAGATCCAAAAGCAATAACTAGATTTGGACCCTGCTAGGGTTAGGAATGATTAATCAGACCTGAGCACTGTAGTCAGAGCCTGTGGCGAGATGTTCCCAAGAGAGCCACCCTACAAACTCAATCTATCTCTTACTGTGTCCATACAAAATAACTAATATTAAGAAGTAGAATTAAGATGTTAATTAAGCTGTTAATTAAGTTATTGGACTAAGAAGAAGAGGAATATCCCTAAGTGGTGTTTCAGCTCTTACGCCTGATGGACTGTCAGGAAGGGCTTTCTTATGTTGATTTTGGTACTGGGGACTGGTGTACCCCAGTGCTGGGGAGTTGGAGAATCGAGGGAGTTGGAGAGAGGAGAGAGAGAGAGAGCAGGGCAGCAAGATGGAGCATGGAGGACTAGCAGCGGGGACGGGGGACAGAGGGAAAAGAATGTAGAAGAAGAACACAGGAGCAGGCACATGGAGAGAGAGAGCCCAGGCTGGGAGATGGAATGCAGAGAGATGAGCGGGAGAGACAGAAGGAGATGGGAATGAGAGTCAGTGAGACTAGAATGGGGGGCCCAGAGAGACTGAGGCAGGCACGTGGGGAGAATGGAATAAATGGCAACTGATCAACCAACCAACTTAGCCCTCGTTTTCTCCTTCGTCCGCTCCATGGCCTGGGCCACCCCGGTTGGGAGAGTGGCCGGAGCCCACCGAATGTGCCCCAGAGAATATAAAGAGGTGATAGGTCGGGAGTTAGTAAATGTTGATGAGAATTGAGGTTCTGACCTGGAGTTTTCTCCCTTTTCTTCGTGTTGCTCCATTTTGCCTGGGTTGAAACTGATTCCTAACCAGGCAGTCCACATTGCGAAGCTGAGGATCCATGTGATGTGGCCAGTTAGGTCCCTTCCTTTAATCTTCTCAGTGTTAAACGCCCCCTCTAACCTTCCTATTCCCCCAACCCCCCACCCCTCATGCCATCTGACCGCAGACAAACATCTCAGAGTGTCTGAGATTGTTAACTGTGACCCAAAGCAGCTCTGGCTGAAATAGCATCCAGGGTTAGAGAACCCATGCAAGGGTAAGTGAGGGGAGTGGGGGCCCTTCACCTTGATCACGTGGATGCTGTCAAGGCCTTAGATGAAAGCGAAGACCCCAGTAGGTCAGAAGTAGCCCCTGTAGTAGTCAGAGTGGAGAGCTCTGAGAGGCTCAGGGGTGTGACTCAGCTGTAAAGCACTGGCACGGCATGACCGCCTCCTGAACACCTCCAGGCGCACACACAGACAAAACTAAAATCAAATAAAAACCACAAAGCGTTGGGAACTGGGGAGGTCAGGCAGAGAGCTGGAGCACATGCCTGGCGCACCAGGACTGGGTTTGATCCCAGGCACCACTGGGCCTCCTGTGCATCAGAGGTGGCTCCCTGATGGCGCTAGAAATGGAGGGGGGGTGGGGGCAGCAGGTAACAAAATATAGTGCATTGTATGCATTTTATCAAAGAGTACTCATAAACACAAAGAAGGAGTTAAAGCTACGATGAATAGTAAAAACAGACTTCTGTTTCACTGGTACTTCAAAACTGCTCAGTAGATGACTGAAAATAATACATATATATATCACTGTTTAGTGTGAATTGGACTGTTATGACTTTTTTTTTTTTTTTTTTTTTTTGCTGGAGTGATAGCACAGCGGGTAGGGCGTTCGCCTTACAAGCGGCCAACATGGCCGACCCGAGTTTGATTCCTCCGCCCCTCTCGGAGAGCCCGGCAAGCTACCGAGAGTATTCGATATGCCAGACACAGTAACAACAAAGTCTCCAATGGAGACGTTACTGGACCCGCTCGAGCAAATCGACGATCAACGGGAGGGCCTTTACCTTTACCTTTACCTTTTTTTTTTGCTTTTTGGGTCACACCTGGCGATGTACAGGGGTTGCTCCTGGCTTTGCACTCAGGAAAGTACTCCTGCTGGTGCTCGGGGCACCATATGGGATGCTGGGAATCAAACCCGGGTCAGTCGCATGCAAGGCAAATGCTCTACCCGCTTTACTATTGCTCCAGTCCCTGAATATTCTTTTTGTTTTTTTGCCTCCTTTTTGGGGGAGGACTCATCCAGCAGTACTCGAGGGCCACTCCTGACTCTGTGCTCAGTGGCCGCTCCTGGAAGTGCTCAGGAATCCATGTGGTAGCTGGGATCGAACCTAGGCCTCCCACATGATGCAGTGTACTCAGCCCACTGAACTACTCCAGCCCTGAGTAGTCTTCTTAAAGGTTCTTGATTTCCTGTTTTCAACCAAAGCAAAACAGCCTATAAAATTATTAATCAAGGGTACAGGGGGCTGACCCTAGTATGGTCCCCCAAGCATCACCAAGACTGACCCCTGAGCATGGAGCCAGGAGTATCCCCTGAGTACTATCAAGTGTAGAACAACCCTCCCACCCTACCCCACCCCACCCCCCTCCAAAAAGGTATTGTTAGGATGGTCAAAAAGTAGGCAACTCATCAGTAATGATATCTAGATGCCGCCAATGATACAGCACAGGTTGCAGAGCTTTGGGGCTTGTTTGTGTGTTTCGCCACTCCCAGTGTTACCCAGAGCTCACCCCTGGCTCTGCACTTGGAATCACTGCTGGTGGCCTCAGAGAGAACATAGGGGATCCCGGGGATCAAACCCAGGGCAGCCACGTGCAAAGCACGTGCCCTACCTGCTGTACTATCACTCCAGCCCCCAAAACTTGGGTTTAGAAAAAGTAGTTTGAATCCTGTTCTTGTTGCCTCTATAAACCTGTTGAAATAATTTCAAATATTGGAATCTCATCTTAAGTGGGAGTAAGTAAAATTCTCTCTTTCTCTTTCTCTCTCTCTCTCTCCTCTCATCTCCTCTCTCCTCTCTCCTCTCTCTCTCCTTTGTTTTTTGGTTTTTTCTTCCTCTGTTTGGGCCATACTTGGTGCTGCTCGGGGCTTACTCCTGGCTTTGCATTCAGGGATCACTCCTGGTAAGGCACAGGAGGCCATACGGAATGCTGGGGATCAAACCTGGGTCTGCTGCTTGCGAGGCAAGAGCCCTACCCGCTATACCATCTCTCCAACCCCTGGAAGTTCTTTCTTAGTGGAGCAATCCCAAGAGTTCAGTGAGATAAAATGTATGCGTAGCGCCAGGCAGAATGCTGTGTATGTCCAAAGCATGTGGTTCTAACTACATGAACATAAGGATTGAGTTTCTCTCTCTCTCTCTCTCCCTCTCTCCCTCATGCTCGCTTACCGATCCTCATACAGATGACCCTGAAGGAGTTTGCCAGGTTGAGCGAAGACCAAGATGATGAAGAGTTTCTGCAGCAGTACCGGAAGCAGAGGATGGAGGAGATGCGGCAGCAGCTTCACAGGGGGCCCCAGTTCAAGCAGGTCTTCGAGATCCCCAGCGGCGAAGCATTTCTGGATATGATTGATAAAGAGCAGAAAAGCACACTCATCATGGTCCACATTTATGAGGACGGCATCCCAGGGACCGAAGCCATGAACGGTTGCATGATCTGCCTGGCTGCTGAGTACCCGGCTGTCAAATTCTGCCGAGTGAAGAGCTCGGTGATCGGGGCCAGCAGTCGGTTCACCAGGAATGCCCTCCCCACCCTGCTCATCTACAAGGGAGGAGAACTCATCGGTAATTTTGTTCGAGTCACCGACCAACTCGGGGACGATTTCTTCGCTGTGGACCTTGAAGCCTTCCTACAGGAATTTGGATTGCTTCCAGAAAAGGAAGTCCTGGTGCTGACATCTGTGCGTAACTCGGCCACTTGTCACAGTGAGGATAGTGATTTGGAAATAGACTGAACTGACAGTCTGGTTGCAAATTCCTCATTGTACCGGAAACTACGTATCTCTGCATATGGTTAATTTCTGTCTTTCCCATGTCCACCAGCATCTCGGCTGGTCTTTGTAGTCCCTTATTATATGTAAAGTCAAGAAATTCTTAGATTCAGTCAGAGGCTGACTCACACAGTGGCTGGCAATAAAGTGACTTAAAATTGTACAAACAGGAAGCCAGAATGTGGAGCTGTTTACTTCAAGATTATCTAGCCTGACATTGATGTTATTTTTTTCCAGTCAATATTTACAGAGCATCCTCAAAGCAGTGTACTGGAAATTGTCTTCAGATGTTCCCTGAGGTCTCAGCCGGGTCTCGGAGTAGATTTCTGTAATTTGTGCATTGTTTGCAATGGAACTGGTGCATTTCCTTCAACAAATACTTGTAAGTGATAGGTCCGTGTCATCTGATCCATATCCCTCGAAGGCAGTTTCAGTTTCCTCCCAGATCGTGTTCTCCACTCCGGTCTTTTTAAGGTTTTCAGATGTGGGTGGTTGTCCCATCACACGGCCCCCTTTCTGCTTGTGCGGTGGTGTCGGGGTCAGATGCCATTAGGTCTAGCACAGCATGAAAGACCAGGGCTCACCGCCCTCGGCTCCTGCCTTACCAGCTTGTCTCCAGCTGGAGAACTGGTGTTTCTGCAGGGGAATCTATCAGTATGATGCTCTTCATCTCATTCCCATGCCGAGATAACTTTTTGGTTTCATATCATTCTATAGGATGACGAAGGGGGAGGCTCCCAAGTGGTGTTCAGGAAGTCTGGGGACCTCCCTGGAGGTTTATGGACAACTGGGCCTGTTTATTGAGAGCAGGGGCCCGCTGATGCAGTGCTGCATGGGCCCTTCCCAGCTGTATCCAGTGATGCTTGGGCACCATGTGGTGCTGAGAATTGAACCGAGGTCAGGAGCCATGTGCCCTAACCATTGTACTATATCCCGGCCCCTTAATGTCACTTTTTAAAACTTTGTTTGCATATTAGAAAATTAATATCCAATAGAAGGAAATTTACTAAAATATAGAGACAAAGATAATAAAATTAGAATGACTCTCTTTCAGTCACCTATGGCAAAGCATCATTCATATTTTATTACATTTTATCTCAAGGTTTTTGTTATTGTTTTTTACATAGACTTTTTCGGATTTATTTGTAAACAAAGCCTTGGATCAGGATCATCCTGGACATAGTATTTTATAGTATGGTCAGCTAACATAGCAGACTTTTATTTACTAATATGCTTCTACATTATTTTTTAAATGCTATTAAAGCTCTGTTATAGTGGTATTGTTACTTTCTTGGTTGTTTTCTTCCTTCCTCCCTCTTTTTTTTACCTCGCTTCTTCCCTCCTTTCCTCCCTCAAGACCTCAGACATCAAGGTATATGCTCGACCACTGAGTCCCATTGATGTTTCTTTTTTTCTTTTTTTTCTTTTTTGCTTTTTGGGTCACACCCAGCGATGCTCAGGGGTTACTCCTGGCTCTGCACCCAGGAATTACTCCTGGCGGTACTCGGGGGACCATATGGGATGCTGGTGATCGAACCAGGGTTGGCTGCGTGCAAGGCAAATGCCCTACCCACTGTACTATCTCTCCAGCCCCTGATGTCTCTTAAGAAAGAAAGCCTGCAAAGATTTTTTTTATTACAAAAGCAATCGATTGCGATTCTAAAAAACACAATAAAAGTGGGTAAGTGAAAAAACCATTAAAGCCCTTTTATTTCACCAACCAAAAATATTATTTGTTATGATTTTTTCAGGTAACTTTCTAGTTGTTGTTGTTTTTTTTCTGTATACTTATAATGATTGCTGTGTAAACTCACACAAAGGGGGGCGCAGCACACAGCGGCGGTGGCTCTATCTCTCCCGCTGCCCGCGTTCGGTAGTCTCACCCTTCTCCCACCCGGGGAGGTCGATGGCGATGGTCAGGCGGAGAAAGGAAACGAGGGCCAGGCTGGTTGGTAGGAGTTTATTCTGATCCTCTCTTCATCTCTGTCTCTGCTCCCCTATGCCCCATCTACAGTCTCATTATATCTCTCTCCAAGAGGAATCGGGGAACAATTACACATAGGTGGGTCACAATCAATAGGGGTAGAAATCTTAGCCTCAGGGAAAGTCGCTCCTAAGACAGATCCTTTCTCAGCAGGAGGATCCACCCTAGAGCGGAATCCCAAGGGTGTGTCTCTCCTCTCCTTGTTCGACAAGCATATAAGCATATATAATATAAATCATTTTGTATGGATACAGTAAGAAATATCTTAAACTTATAGAATTTCTCTCCTAGGGCCATCTCGATCTCAGACTACAGTGCTCAGACCAGATAGTCTTTCCCACCCCTAGCAGGATCCTTGTCTCGTTGTTACCTTTGGATCGTGACAGCATTTGTCTATGATCAAACTCTTAACTTATAGTTAAGAATCGTGGCACTTTGGCCTGGCCCATTTCACTGCCAGGGTAGCTCACCGCTTGCCCTGGGTCCATTCAGTCCCTCGTCGGGACCATGTTTTTGGGGTGTTAGGAACTAAGGGCAACTGAGGCTTAAGTCGAGAAAGCAGATGCCTGGGAGTGAATAATATTCAAAGCCAATCAAATCATAAGTTACAAAGCATAATGTTAACGGTCTTCCTGTATCTATACAAAAAAGGATATTACTTTAAGGTAAACTGTTCATAAGGCATAAGGAGAGGAGAAAGGTAATATTTCACTCATACTTATAAAATCATAGATTTCTGGGAAACTGATCTTACAAATTAACAGTCTGATTAAGGGGAAAGCTGATTAACTGGGTGGGAAGGAGAGCATAGGAAAGACTGTTTACAGATAAACACAATGGAAGTGGAAGTGCCTCCGGAGCACTGTGATGGGTGTAACCAGATTAATGGGTGTAACCAGATAAACCTAAGCTTCTTGTGGAAGAAGGACAAAGCAATGTTATCCTACAGATTGCTATGTAAGATTTTTCTTCTATTTAAAACTCCAAGTATGTGTATTCTAGGGGTGGGAAAATTAAACTGGAATTAAATGTTAGCTTTATTGTTGTTAATATTACTATTATAATTATAATTATTATAATTATAATAATTATTATTATTATTATTTTGGTGGTTTGGGGGCCATACCCAGCTGTGCTCAGGACTTATTCTTGACTCTGTGCTCAGGAATCACTGCTGAGCCATGCTTAGGGGACCATATGGGGTGCCAGGGACTAAATCAGGTTGGCCATGTGCAAGGCAAATGCTTTCTCCGATGTATAATTGCACTGACCCCTGGAATTAAATGTTAGCTTTAACATTTAATTTTACTTTTCCTGAATATTTAAGAATTGACTAACTGGAAGAGTTCTGATGATTGTAATTAATAACAGAGATTTAGAATTTTTCTCGGGGCTAGGGAAATGGTATAGGGGTTATCCCTTGGTTTGAGCCCTGGTTCCCCATGGTCCTCTGAACATAGCTGGGTGTAACTTTAAGGATTTCCTGAGCAGTTCCCACCTCTGTCCCCCAGCACTGCTGGGGTGCCTCAGACAATTCCCAGCACCTTGGGGTGCAAGTAGCACCAAATTGATTAAGGTCTTGCTTTGAACTGCTGCCCCATTGGCTAAGAATTGCTGTGAGGGGCCTCCGGCCACCTGAATACCACTTGAAACCCAAAGCACAGACACTAGTAGTCAGAAAGACTGTTTTCAGTGTTCTAGTTTATTTTTTCTCGGTTTATATTCTCTGATATTCATAACATTAACTGTCACTGTCACTGTCCTCCCGTTGTTCATCGATTTGCTCGAGTGGGCCCAGTAACGTCTCCATTGGAGACTTTGTTGTTACATAACATTAACAGTTTTTTGAATTTAGTTGTGTTCTGTTTAATATTTATTATAAACACTTGGACATATTATACATTTTAAAATTAACTCGTTTTTAATGACTCCATAATATCCCATTATTAGGATATACCAGGCTAAAGCAAAATAGCACAGCAGGTAGGGCATTTGACTTGCATGCGACCGATCCGGGTTCGATTCCTCCATCCCTCTCGGAGAGCCCGGAAACCTACCAAGAGTATCCCGCCTGCATGGCAGAGCCTGGCAGACTCCCTGTGTCATACTAGATATGCCAAAAAATAAAAAAAAAACAACAAGTCTCAAAATGGAGACGTTACTAGTGCCCGCTTGAGCAAATTGATGAACAACGGGAGGACAGACAGTGCTTCGATACTAGGATATACCACCAGGTTCCTGAATACTGGATAGATAACCATTTTCTTGCTGAAACAATTATTATTTTTGGGGGGGAGCTATATTTTGTATCATTTTCTTAGTATAGATATCTAGAAGAGGAGTTATTAGATGGCTAAACAGGAACTTTTTAAAAATAATCTTGGCGAGGGAGATAGTACAGAGGTTAAGGGCCTGCCTAGGGAGCCACTGCAGCCACAGCCCAGTTTGAATGTGGCACAGCATCCGGTCCCCTGAACAACACCAGGAGTTGCCCCTGAGCACTGCTAGGTGGGCTCCCCAAGACAAAAACAAACCAAAACAAACAAAAAATACTTTCACAAACCATCGTTTGTTTTCATTGAAAATGAAAATATATTCCATACTGAGTTGGCTTTAAAAGATGAGAGATTCTAGAGTACAGTGATCAGACATGAAATGTGGAAATTCTAGAATGTTCCATCTCTCCAGCTCAGGTGTAGTAAAAGCAATCTGATAACTACCTGTGACAGGGTCCCAGGCGTAGCCCAGATTTCACATTCTCTCGACACATAGTCTCATATAGGCAGGGACTATATTTTCCTTCCTCTGTAGGATATAACTCTCCTTCATTCTGGAAAAAAGCTGAAGCTGACTTCCAAGGCAAGATAATAGCCCCACAACTATGCCTCAGTTTCCCTATATGTGAAATGGTGATGAATCATGAGTCAATTCATGAAAGAATGAAGAATACTTAGAAAAAAGAATGCTTAAGAATACTTAGAAAAAAGAATGCTTTCAAATAAATGCCAAGTGTGTTGTCCCCAGCTGTAACTGCCTGGTCCTTGATGAGGAAGGGCTCAATAAATGTTGGATGATGAACTTCACTGAATTTCACAAATTCAGGGGGAGGAAGATTAAGAAGCCAAGACTTAGCAGGGTTAGTTAAGTGGCTATTCCAATTGGATCAGGATTTGAAATCAGGTCTTGTCTAGTTCTCTTGTCTAGTTCCAAAATTCCTATTTCCATGATACCAGGTTCTTGGAGAAATCTAAATGATCAAGTCTTGCGTGAAGTGATATATCAGTTGGTCAGAGGTGCAGAGATAAGACATGTGAGAGGAATGTAGAGAGATAGTGGAGGAGCTGGAGAGATAATACAACATAATGGGTAGGTTGCTTGCCTTGTACACAGCTGACACAGGTTTGATCCCTGGCACCCTATTATGGTCTTCCAAGCCCACCAAGAGTGATCCCTGAGCGGAGGGTCAGGAGTAAGCCCTAAACACATCTGGGAGTAAGCCCAAACAAACAAACAAAAAAAAGGTAGTGGAGAGAACAGGTAGGAGGGAGGAAATAAAATTTACTTTTGGATGGGGAAAACACACCCAGGAGTGCTCAGGAATTACTGTTGGGTCTGTGCTCAGAGGGTGGAGAGGATCATATGTGGTCCTGTGGATTGATCCCAGTTCTGCCACTGCAAGGCAAGTATCCTACCTACTGTATTCTCTCTAGGCTTCAAGAATTAGAATTTTAAGAGAAAAAGGACTTATAATGGGGGAGCCAGTTTACTCTGATCTGTCTCAGAACCCCACCCTGTATGGACTGTGTCTATAATCCACCACAAGTGCCAGCTGAGGGGTTCCTCCTTGCTGTTATAACTCCCAAAGTCTTTTCTGCTCCACTCACCATACACCCCATTGCCCCCACCCCAGTCCTTTATTCCTCAGGAAAGCAGAGACCAGAAAAGTGACAGAAACTCACTTAGTAACTGACTCTCTTCCCCCGGACAAGTCTCTTCCTTCTTCCTTCTTCTGGATCTGTTTCCCCCCCTGTGAAATAAGAGTGTGGATTAAATGATCTTTTACAACAATTTGTGTGTTCTTGATTGAGAATATTTCAGTAAGTTATTTCACTCATTTGCAACATGCAAATATTTTTGGATTTCAGTTTCATACCTTGTCCAGTGTATGATGCCACACCAAGCCAGAAGTTTCCATAACTCTTAAGTTAGATGATCTCTTACGACCCTAAAACTCTCAAAAATCGATGACCCAATGCACTTAAAAAGTCTTTGGTTCTGTAGAGTACAGGGGTTAAGGTGCTTTCCTTGCATGCAGGCAACCTGGTTTGATCCCTGGAA